TATTTGTGAAGGGAAGTTTCAGGAAGTATCCTTAAAATACTCCTGAAATATTTAATTCAATTTTGGTTAAAAAGGTTATCTCATATTACTGCACCTCGTATGTGGGCCAGAGACATTGACTTCTGGTTGTTTCAGTTCAGTTACTAAACCCTAGCATGTACTCCCACATATACCTCCATATTTCATACATATCTGTGTGTTTTATCAAGGTCTTTGAGGCCTTAAGAACATCTGTTCCCCCAGTTTTCAAATCGTATGCTGCTTTAATAATCTGCAAACATTTATAACACCATCCCCATGCCATCTTCTTTAAGCCACCAGCAAAAAACCACTGCAGAAATCTTGAAGAATTCTATGTAGCACATCAGTATAGCAACCTACGACTTTCAGCTTTGCACTTAGTAGAACTGCCTGGCAACTGCTTGATGTGATGCTTTCTTACGTTGCATTGTTTTTGGTCCTACTTTTTGATAACCACTAGAAGACTTAAGGGAGTTTACAAGAAGTTATTCATGTTCTTAGTAGCTTAGTCACTGATCACGTGATGTCAGTGCTCTGTGAGTCACTTCTGATTCATTTCAAATTGTACACTAGGTGATAGAGTTGGAACCTGGTTATGAAATAAAGGTCTCTTAGACCTAGAAAAGTTAACTTTCCTTTCTTGCAAAATTCAGTTCAGTTAAGACATCCTTGGCATTCTTCCTGTTGCCTTACCATTGCACTTATGAGTGGGAAGGTCTTGGTATAATGATCGTGTGTATTGAGCATACTGTTTCTGTTAAGTATATTTACCACAGTCTTGATGGCCATCAGGACCTGCTGAGAAGCAGGCAGTTTGTTCTTAAAGCTTTGCTTATTAGCTTTTGAATACTTTGATTCTTTCAACTATTCTAGGAGCAAGTGATACTTCAGTTATTTCTAAATCACAGTTTACAGGGAGCCACCAATTGGATCGTGCAATAGAGTGGCTGCTGGGCCCAGATTAGGATGTTCTTACTCTTGTGTGTATTGAGTCTCTCATATGCAATGGAATTTTTGTAATTGTAGTTTTTAGTGGCTTTGTGTTACTACATAGATAATAAAATATTTAATCCTAATTGTCTTTGTGCTTTCACTCATGTAGTTAAATACTGGAAAAGCGTATTCAACTCTTGTGTCCTTGTTTGTTTCAGAGAATATTTATTAAAACATCTTAGTACAGTAAGGGCATTACAGGAGGAAGAGCATGTAACAAGTGGGTTATTTGTATATTTGTATTTTGCTGCAGTGAAACAAAGCTAAGGCTTATGCGGTATTTTGCAGCTTTCTTTAAGGTAGATTGACTAACTAAAACACACCCATTCCACTTTATTTAGTATTCACTTAGTGGTTTTTGCTCAGCAGGGTGTGTGGTTAGAAACAGGTATACAAACGGAAATGAAAATGAGTCTCAAAGTTTTAAAACAAACTGCTGGAGGTTCAAGATAATGCTGCAGAGGCATTCGGAGACACCCTTACAGCACAGTCAGGAGAGCTCTCTTATTGGCTTCACCATTTGCACAAAGATCATTTACCATAACTTTTGTTACTTGCTTACACACAGCTATGTTTAGCAGGTTAGCTCCGAAAAGAAGTGACCTAGTGGTCAGAGATGCGAAACACCCAATGACAGTTCTGAAACCAAAACTGAGCTGGAGTCTCTTCTCACCCAAGGCCCATTTTTACAGATTTAACTCCATGGATTTTTTTGAATTATGGATTGGTGAAATACAAATGGAAGAGGAATCAGATTCGAAATTTTTCTTTTTAATAACATTTGATGTATCATGGTATATGCACTCAAAGAGTGCTTCCTTTTAAAATTGGGCAGGAAGATGACATTAAATATTTGATACTGCATGTGTTTGTAAAATCGTGTGCTGCTACAGTTCCATACAGGCTTGCTGTTCAGTGCTGAACTGTACTGGGAGCCTAAAGATTTTTTGCTGCACAGTGTTTGTTTTGTTTTTTAAACCATCACTAATACAATGTTTTTCTTTGTGGAGATGAACCTTTTAGTTGGGTGAGAGAATGGATAGCACAAAACTTTGTACTGCTTTAATGTGTGCAAAATAATTGCATGTCATCATAATGAAGTCTATCTCTGTTGTGAGATAATTAGGTCTGTATCTTGTGAAGCATAAATGTGTTTTTATTATACAGGAAAATACCATAAATGTGTTGACCTAATCACCAATAGTAGGCAGAACATACTGTTTTTCTCTGCATCTTTGTAAAATGGAAAAGAGGCCTTCTAGAGGACACAAATTCAAGCTGGAACCTGGTGCCAAGTGGTACCTGGGTCATGTCATGGCGGAGGATTTTGGAATACACATGGAGAGAGAATGCTAGGAGAGAGAGTTATTTGCCGTCTTTGTCAGCTGGAGATGATCTATATTGAGCACTTCTGAAAAGCTGGTGATTTAATTACAGCTGTATATACTTAATAGTATGTGTGCACATAACCATTTGGCTTCCAAGATAAGCATATATTGAGCTCCTTTTCTGATTAAACAAGTGCTGTTGGATGGAGGCTCTGGCAGAACACCAAGTTTGTAAAATGGATGAAAATTGATACAGGCCTCTGTGCAGGCCTAAAATAATTTTACTCTTCCTGAAGACACTGGAAGAGTACAGAATGCCAAATACTAAAGGCCTGAATAAATATTGATTCCTGATGTCCTGGCCTTCCTCTGCAAATTTCCTACTTCTCTGGCTGAATACTTTGCTGTTTTGCCCTCAGTGCACCTGCTGTAATACCTAGGCAGTTTATATCCCAGAAAGATTCTTTAGGTAATTAATGAAACTATGTAAGAGCACAAACAAGGAATGCATAAAGTTTAGTTCATGCTATCAAAATGAGAACCTGTAGTATAAGTCAAAAGGTAGCTCAAGAACTTTTAGTTACTTGGAATCTATACTGCTCTCATTTGTGGGGCTCTAGAACAGGCAAGCTTTCCCCTTGCCTATGTCACTGTAAGTAGAATTGCTTCTTACAATTAAAGAGTGACTGCAGAAGGTAGATTCAGAGACTGGTCTCTCGTGTTCAGTGTTGAAGATCACCTGATGCATAAAGTCCTCATTCTGGGCTTGATAGTGCTAAGTGGGTTGCTGCATGTTCACACAGGCTCTGCCAGAATTTACTGATCAGGACTCTCCTGCTTGTCTTGCCTGAGAGGCTGGCTGTAGTAAGGTATTTCAAGTCTGTTTATTACCCACACGAGGTATATATGATACTCAGCATGTCTTCTGCTTTCAGGGCTTCAAACAGTCAGCTAAAACAATAACTTCACTTGTAAACTATAGATCTAGGCCATTCTGAGTCACCTTCCTACTAAACTACATCTACTCTGCGTGAAATAGAGACAGCCTGTCTGCCAGCCTAATCTAAGTTTGATAGAAAGATAAGAATCTCAAAGAATTGCTTGTGTAGAAGAGAGACATCCAGATCGGTGCCTATATATGTGTAGGAGCAGCTGTGTGAGCCCAGCATTGGTTTGATTTGATTTGATGTGTGGCCAGTCAGCTGGGATTCAGCTACAGCACGTAGTGCTTTTGTGTAGCTGATGGCTTTAAGTGTGAATGAGGAGTTATGGCATTGTTGGGGGGAAGAGAAGGAAAAGACTTTTAGGGAGAGTATAGTGATAAAGGGCATGAATAGGACTATTGTGAAGAACAGAGGAGACAGATCTAGAGGAAATCAGGCTTTATTAGTGCTACTAAAGATCCAATGTATCGTTCAAAAAGAAATGCCCGGGCTCTGGGGTTCGTTCTTCACATTTGGTACCTTCCTGTAGAAGGACATGGAAACTCTTGCTCAGTGACTAACATGGATTATATTGTTTTGCAAGTGGGCTAAGTTTAATGTTCCTTTTTGGTTTTGTGCAATTTAAAATTTTTTTCCCCCCCTCTAGTAATAGATGCCATTTCATATGCTGCCAATCTGCTGTTTCACCTACCTCTTCTATTTTGCCTTATTGTACATTGCTTTTGTATATTGTTCCTTTCATTGATGTTTTAAGTGATAACTACGTTTATCCTCATAGAGGACAATGTATTTAAAATTATTCAAAAAGGTAAATTTTCTTTTGTATTTGAAAGGGTGTCTAATTCCAGTTCAAGCTACTTAGGTTCTTTCCTGGCAGGGTGTAGAAAATCATCATCTGTTAATGTTTACAAACACTTTCACTACTGTTTGTTACAGAAATGGAAACTTTTTAAAACGTTCTGCTACATTTGATGTCCTTGATCTTTTCTGAATATGGAAAAAAACACCCCACAAGACTCAGAAGATAGATGCAATCTAGAAACCTTTTTCAAGTAAAATCCTTGTAACGCATAGTTCAAGGAAATGTGTTAGGACATTTAGGTTCACCACTGGGAGTATGCATAGGTTAACCTCTGGGCTTCTGCATACATTATATCTCATTCCATGCACACCTGTGCACGCACTTTAGTGTTATGTATGTCAGCTGTACAAAAAGCTTCACAAACACTCAAGAATATTGCCATTCTGTTTGATGAGTTCAGTCATGCCACTGACTGGTATGGATCAGTAACTGAGTTCTTTTGCTCCACAACTCATTGTTTTGTTTCAAAGGTTGTATCATCTGCCTAGAGCTAAGCATTTAAGTGCATTGCTGGGCTGAGATAATTATGTGTAATTAACTGGGTATTTTGAGTGCTTTTGAGACACAGCTGCTTTTTTGGTTGCCTTTTTTGGTTTTGTTTTTCTTTGTTAGGGTCTTCTAAAACCTGGTCATGAAATACAGTTCTTGCTATATAGCTCTCATCAGACAAATAATACACTTCCTAAGTTAGTGTGTTACTGCTATCTTTGAAATAGTGTAGGTGAACAAGCCTGATCAGAATTAGTATTCTGAAAAAGCTTCTTCCAAGTTGTTTACCAAGTTATACCAAGGTTTCAATATGAATACTCCTTTTTTTTTTTTTTTTTTTTTTTTTTTTTTTTTTTTTTTCAGATTTAGAAGGAAATGCATATCAGAACAACCAGCTGCTAAAGATAATTCTGGCCATGCATCAGTTTATCATCTCTTCTGCAGACATGCTCCAGAAACTCATTGATCTATATCCTTTGTAATATTCACCTGTTGTTAAGGTAATATTAGATAACTTGACAACTTTGAAGTGGGTAAGTAGAGGATATTTAATCTATGAGTTCCACTAGTTAAACAGCGTACTTACTCTTTACATTCTTTGGTTGTATAGTGTGCTTTTGTTTGATTTAGGTTTGGGGTTTTTTGTTTGTCTGTTTGGTTTAGCTTGTCATCCATAGAGAAGAACAAGAAACTCCAATTCAGAATATAAGTAGGATAAATCACCCTCCATTGGCCATGGAAGGAACACCTAGCAGGTGTTAGATTAATGTAGGCACATCAGTTAAGTACTGTGAACCTGGGCCTAATTGTCAGATCTCTTTCTCTCTCTTTCTGTCCTCCATACAAATAGAAGATCAAAAAAAAAAAAAAAAATTTTTGAAAATATTCTGATTGTATCATCTGGAGATGAAAATTTTCAATATTATTTCTCATTCACAGACTCAAATTTATGATGCACTGAAATAAATCATAAGCTTTTCCTTCCTATTTATTCCCATTCTGAGGTGGCTGCCTGGACTCATACATGTGTGTTTCTGGCTCAAGAGATTTTTCACAACAAAGCTATTAGATCATATTGGCAATACTAGCCTTTATTAGGAATTTTTAATTGTGGAGAATATTACCTGACTTCTTAGCTTTACAGAATGTTTACTCCTAATTGGATAAGCATAGTAGATGAAGAAGACCTGACATGCTAAGAATCTCCAGCCAATTTTGGTACAAATTAATTTAGATAATGCTTTCTTCCCTCAAACTCTCTATCTTACTTGCTTTAAAAGCAGCATAATTTACAACAGAGCTTTTCTGTAGTGCTAGATTCTGACTGTCCTGCTACTTCTCTAACCATGATGTTGATTCAAGTGTACTAAGCAACAACCATGGTGTAGTGTTGCATTTAACTTTGGCTCATGTGATCTTTGAAAATGGAGGAAAGTAATTTCTTGTGTATTTCTGAGAAGTAAGGTTTTCTGCAGTCAGAGTAGCGATTCAAACTTTTATCAGACTTGTATATTTTACAAGCTTGTTTTCTGACTCTGTATATATCTCCTTGTAAAGACATTGAAAGGTAAAGACAGTCTTGAATGGATCGGATAGTCTGGGCTCTTGTATTTTGAAAAGCCTTGAAAATGCCCCATTTTCACCACAGTCCATCCCCTAAATTACATGAGTGATTTTAGATGGTCATGCATGATTTGTAAGCCATCTGACTTCAGACATTCAGTTTGGGGCCCTTCAAAATATTTGTGAACTTATTCAGACCTCACTAGTTCTATAGTCAGCCTAATTTAAGCACTTATATGGGTTCTTAAATTGTGTATGGTATATTCCTTCAGTTGTGGTAGATTTATGCTGCAGTTAATTTCAGTTGGATTGTGGGAGGATCCACAAGGTATTTTCATTAAATTATGTTTTAGTACTGAAAATGTGTGTGTAATCTATATCAGAAGAATCAAGATAGGCATAATACATTTTCCAAATGGATTTTCCATGTCTTCAAAAGAGATCGGCTACAATATCAAAACATGTTTTGTAGAGCTAAGAGACTAAAAATATGGGTGTTTCTTTCAAGTTATCGCAGCAAGTCAAATGAAAAATGTTGCATAGTTAGAAAGGTGTGGTTAGCAAGGAGAGGCATTTCACAATTTTCACTACCATTGTATACAGCTGGTTATATTTAAAATAAAATAGCATCTTTTTTGGAAAAGTTCCAGTGAATTGTAATTAACTGAAAAGAATTTCTCCAAAAGAACAGTAATTGTAAATTTGGTATTACTGTTTCAAATTTTAGTAAGATGTGCAAGTGCATGAGTTTTATTACAAACTGAGGCATGTTGCAAAGAAACACATGTAGAAAGCAAAATTATTTCACTACTTAACACTCCTCAGTACTTGGGTGGCTACATCAGTAGTACTGATAGTAGTCATATTTACAATAAACTTTTGCTAACGATCTTGGGATATACTTTGTATACACTTGTGTAAAACCCCAATCTCGTATTATATGCCATCAGTAGAATGATTCTTATTGTTTACAGGTAGGGAAGAATCAAGCGTGTTACATTTCATACCATATATGAATGGACGTGGTTTTCCTTAACAGTTTTCTACCTATCTTAATGCCTTGGAAAATAAATCTTCCATGCTATGTGTAAAGATATGCTATTTTGTGAGGTAAGAACATTCTTGCTTGGTAGCTCTTAGTCTGCATCTATCCATGCACCATACATGAGAATGCTTTTGCATATCTTAAGCTGACATTAAAAAGAGAAACGGCTATAGTGCTTCAAATTTTCAAGGTTCACTTTATCAGCTTTACACAAAAAGGTCCAGCTGGCCTTGTAGAGATCCATTGAAGTCAGTGCATGAATTGTTGGGTCACAGTTTTGAGCTGAGTCTATATGAATCTGTATCTTAAACATCAGTGAAAATTGACAGCACTCAGGAATTGGTAGCATTGTGTCTAATATTATTATGTAGGTCTGTTAAAAAAATTAAGTGGGATATTGCAGCTATTTTTGTATTAAGCAAAACTACTGTAATTGGTAGGTAATTCTACTTAGTCACTTGCAATGATTCTGGATCATTTTTTTTTTTAATTATTAAGTACAGTAAAGTTTGATATCTCAGTTTAGAGAAGACAGAAGAGAGGAAAAAAACATACAGCTCTTATAGTAGATTAGCATATGATATCTCTTTTTTACACAGAATGGGAAATAAGTAACAGGAAAGTCAAATTTGTTTTAAATGGTGATTTTATTAACTCAAAGCAGATTATTGGTTAGGTTAGAATGCTTTGTTACTGTATGTGGACTGGGAACATTTTGCTTCTAGGCAAATTCACCCATCCATCCATAACAATATGCATCTCCATTTTTCCAACAAGCACAGATTTTTATATGCAAGGGTATACTGGGTCTGTCTGGGATGGAGTTAACTTTCTTCCTATCAGGCCCTATGATGCTGTGCTTTGCATCTGTGAGTAAAACATACCAATGTTTAAGCTATGTCTGAATGGTGATCGCTCAGCATCAAGACTTTCTGTTTCTCACTCTGTCCCCCTAGAGTGTAGGCTGGGGGTGAGCTTGAGGTTGGGAGGGGACACAGCCAGGACAGCTGATCTGGATTGACCAAAGGGTGTGCCACACCGCACAGAACCATGCTCAGCAATAAAAACTTGGGGGGTAAGTCATTCCAGAGTAGCTGTTGCTTGGATACTGGCTAGGCATCTTGTGGGAGATGGTGAGCGATTGTCTTTGCATCACTTGTTTGGTTGGTTGACTTTTTTCTTCCACTCAGTTATTAAACTGTATTTATCTTGAACCACACATTTTTCTCACATTTGCCCTTTCTATTCTCTCCCCCATTCTGCTGTACAGGGGGAGGAGTGAGCAAGCACCTGGGTGGGTACTTAGTTGCTGTCCAGGGTCAACCAGCTGCAGTGGGTGGCATGTCACATATAGGAATTGAAATATAAAATATATGAGTGAAACAATTTGAATGCCTAACATACAAGAGTGTAGTTCTCTGAAAACATTTTGTGCACATGAGACTGAATCACCTGTAAACTATTAAATATGTTTAATTTGTAAATTTTTCTTCAATTAATAGGTAAAACTCTGACTTGCACAGTGCATTTTTTGAAGTGCAGACTAAAGAATTTCAGGTTTTAAAGGCATATATTAAAATTATCTATAAGTTCATGAAGAAAAAAATCAGGATGCATATTATCTAGATTTAATGTGAAACTACAAATTTTAATATTGACTTTACTGCAAACATATATGTAGTATAGCTCTATACAGCATTAAGCCAGGTAATTTCTAACATGTTTTTAATCTCGAAATTTTGATTTTTGATAAAATCAAGGTAGCATAGTAAAAGGATCTAAAGGCAAGATTTATCCCCTGAAGTTGGTCAAGAAGAAATATAACTCATAAACAGGAGCAACATCCATATTTCAGCCTTACTGATGTTAGAACAAAACATTTATTTTTGTGTTTCTGTATTTTCAATGTGCAATAGGTATTGGATTACAGAATTCTGGGTTATGTTCAAAATGGACTCTAAACTATTGACAGCTATGGAGGAATTTCAAGAACTGGTTAAAGCTAATGGTGAGGAGTTACACTGTCGTCTAATTGACACAACACAAATGTGAGTGCCAACATCTCAATGTTCTTGGAAAACAAACTTTTGCTCTGAATTTTCTTTATTCAAATGTAATGTCTCTCCAGTATAGCAGGATAATGATCCTGTAGTGGGTTAACTTTAATAAGTCATAGTTTTATAAACACTTCTAAGGATAGATATCATTATTGATTAAATAAATCCTACAGCTATACATCACATAGGTTTTTTTCTTGGGAGGAGAACCTTCCTTGTTATATGAGAGTAAGATAGTTCTGTGGACCTGTATAACAGTGTCAATTCATACTTGGGTTGGAAATGCACAAGCAAAATCAGAGCAGAATTTAGCATACATTTTATATCTGGTTGTGAAAGAGGATATTTAGCTTTTAAAAGCCAATTAAATTTCATTACCCCATGGGTGAATAGCACAGGGGAACAGTTCATACTCAGAGGCTGGTCATGGAAATCTGTAAGAATTCTTAAAAGGAGAAGCACTGGATGTGTTCGGTGAAAACAAAGTTATGGATAGAATTCCAGCAGCGCAATATATAATCTCATGCTGTTTAGTAATATAGTTGTATTGTACTTATGTGCTACATCTATATAATAGAGACTAACAATAATGTTTTGTCATATAATCTCTAATGCATGTAAGAAGCTTGCTGCTTAGAAATTCAAATAATTCACTTTTTATTGCAGTAAATCATGAAAACAATGTTACTTTTGTATTAGGGAGAGAGGAAAAGTTTACTCTTCAGAAAATAACTCAGGGTAATTCTGTTTTAAAATTTGTCTAAAAGAAATTCTAGGGATTGGTCTAGAAAGCTGACACAGCGTGTAAAGGCCAACACCAGTAAGAAACGGAAAGTCTCTCTTCTTTTTGATCACCTTGAGCCAGAGGAGCTGTCAGACCACCTTACCTATCTTGAATTTAAATCTTTCAGAAGAATATCAGTAAGTGATTTTTATCTATTTATTTATTCACTTATTTGAAACAAAGATTGGAAGGATGTAGAAAAGATGGAAAAAAGGTAGTATTACAAGCTTAGCTCTGCAGTGCAAGCTGTTGGACAAGCTGAGTCTGTGCCCAGACTCCTTTTGTTTTACCAGTGTTGAAGGTGGCCAGTGGTACTTATTCTGAGTTCATACCCTTTTGCTGCAGTCATTTGAGAGAGGAAGAGTGAACCTTTTAAACAATTGTGGAACAGAGTAGCATAAGTCAGTTGGAAGGAAGAGGAGTAAGCCATTTTGATCTTCTTCCACATAATCTCTTTTTGCTAGAACAAGTGGTGTCACTGGGCACAGGAACAAGCATCCTTCTTTGACTCAAATCAGTAATCAGGCTGAAATGGAATGAAGGCAACTTGGAATATTCTCCTAGAATGTGAACCTCCTGTGGCTGTAGGAAACAGTGCTGCATTCTTGCACAGTGACTAATGGACTGTCTGTACAGAAGATGTCCACTGGACTCTGCTTGCCATTTTTGATTGTGCATAACAAAATAAAGACTAGGAATAAGAAAGCACTTGAGAAAATGCCATTTTTTTAATGTAAAGGAGTTTAAAATATTTTAGCAGACAAGCTTTCAAGTACACAAACAACTCATAAGGATTTCTCTCATTTATGTTTTCTTTCATTTGATTTGTTTTCTCAGCTATGTTGGTGCCTGATAAGATATTAACTTGCAGCTTGGCTTCACTTGCATCCCTGTATGCTACAATAAAGCTTCTATTCAAACCTGATACAGTTCACACGTGGAAAAGAAAAGTAAATATTAGAGACCAAAATCTAAGATGGTTGCAAAGTCAGTGTGATGATAACAATGAAAGCAAAGTGGGGTTTTTAGTTTTTGTTTGTTTGTTTTGGTTATTTAGTGTTTTTTTTTTTTTAAAACACTACAATTTGAAGATGAAGCCTTGCAAGGAAAGGGGCTCTCAATAGATTGTGGAAGATTTCACAATCGTATGTTGGTGTACTTTATTTTGAGCTGATAGTACATGACTCTTAACATTTTGTGTTAAATTCAAAAAGCCATAGAACCAAAGTTATGCACAGATTGCTGCCTGTAGGCAGTAATAATATGCAAAGCTTATATAACCCTTAACATTTTCAAGCTCTGTGCAGACATAGAGTAGTTAATGATTAATGAGCATAACAAGTATGATTGCAGTTAGAATGTGTCATAGAGTTCCAACAGTTACATACTTGTATACATTTTATAAGCAGGGTCCCAGCTTATGTTTTGATATAAGACCTCAGATCAGAAAATAATATGTAATTAATAAATAGCTGTATTCAGTAAGTCTTTTCAGAATGTGTTCAGGATGGTGCTAAGCCACAGAAACTTTTTGTTATTCTGATATGGGAGAAAGGCTGCAAATGACCTGCTGTGTTATCAGTCACTGGAATAACTATTCATAGGTTCGGTCATTTGAAAGTCAGAAAGGAATACTTGATCCCCTGAACACTCACAGCAAGCAGCAAAATCTTCCATGAGACACCATGTATCTTGCAGCAAAGAAAAATGCAGGTGGTGGTGTTCCCAGAGTAATGACTGCAGGTATGCTGGTGTTTGGAAACCATTTATAGTTATAAAACACAGGGAAGCTACACTTGTAAGAATCTGGATTCTGTTTTCCTGTTGAGGCTCATAAGTTAGTCATTGCAATACTAGACTCTTGAATTATTTAAGTACCTGGACTTTATTGTATCTGCTGCTAACAATCTTGTTACAGCTGACCTCATTAATAAATTGTTGCACGAAAATTATTTTAAAACTTTAAGTAGTATGTTAGATATAAATTTGTTCAACATTTAAAAAACAATTATTTCTGAAGGAGAGAGCTGCTGAGAACAAAATGTAAACTAATCAAAGTGATTCATAATTGTACTGAAACTGCTATAAGTCCATAATTATGTAGTCAGATATTGAAAAATTATCTATCTGTATAGAGTAGTTGCTTCAATTTCAAGACACAGCTAAATCTGGCTGTGGTTCAAAATTCAAGTAATAATTGTAAGTACTATGTACTATGTAATCTCAGAGACAGCTCTACTTACTACTGTTAATGTTTCTTCCATTTTAAATTAAAGGGGACAAATCCAGAGATGTCTGCTGTCATGTCTGCCTTTTAAAGTGTTAATAGTTCTTATTAAATGGATGGAAAAGAGTTAAAAAAGGGAGAGGAAGTGAGTGAGGGAGAGCAAGAAACGAACAGCAGCCTGACAATTTATGATCTTTTCTTAAGGATCAGTGCCATTCAGCATGCTCTTGTGGCCTTAAGAAAGGGGTATGTGTCTATTACAGCTATGAATGTTTTTGGTAAGATGTTAGTATTAGTGGTCATATTAAAGAATGGATGTATAAATCCTGTGTCACATTTTCTGATGATATAAATTCTGGTGTATTCTTGTTAATGGATAAATCAAGAGAATGGATAAATATTGCATCAACAAAAACAAATTATTTTTTCTCTTATATCTTAATGGGAGGAATGGCTTAAAAAATATATATTTGTCACATACAGGTGCCTACTGAAGAATTTTAGATCACTTTGGTTAAATAAGAGAATCTCACAAGCTGTATTAAAAATATTAAGGCATCTGTAACCCTCGTTCTTAATGGTCCCATTTCAGTTTTATATTGATCTCATTAAACTTGCTTTTTATGTTAGTGTAGCTTAATTCAGAAGTTGTGCCCTAGCTACATAAACTGAAAACTTAAATTCCTTAAACTTCCTTAAATTATCACTGAGTTACTAGATTACACTTTGAATTCAGTTTAAAATTCAGTTTAACCTTCCCTGTAAAAGCCTAGATTCAATGAATCTATGGAGACATGGAAGCTGGGAAGAAAGCCCCAATTCTTCTCATCCTAGGGTTTATAAGAGCCAAGGTTTTTCAGATATACATAGTGCAGTGATGTGATACAAATTATGGCGAAAAGATGCTTTCAGTTAATTCAATTAGTTGAAGCCGCCTGCTTTGAATTTAACAAAGCTTTGACAAAGGAGAGATTTCGGTCTTATAGATATTTAAGGTGTAAAATCTTGTATATTTAATTTGAAAAGCAGACCTGTATCTGCACACAGTTCATGAGTTATATGAAACTGTAGGTAAGTTTTCATTTACACTTTTTTTATTTTTTTTTTCTTTTTTAAGTTCTCAGACTATCAGAACTACATTGTGAATAGTTGTGTGAAGGAGAATCCAACAATGGAAAGATCAATTGCTCTTTGCAATGGTATCTCTCAGTGGGTGCAGCTAATGGTTCTTAGCAGACCAACACCACAGCTTCGAGCTGAAGTGTTCATCAAGTTCATTCATGTTGCACAGGTCAGTTAAATTTTGACATATGTGGTGTTTATTTTAGTCTTTCTCTGATACAGCCCTTCCCGTGCTACTACTGCAGGGTCAGCTGGGAGTGTTGGCACTGGTCTCCAGGTTCACACAAACATCATGAATATTTGTGTGTGTGCTGCGGTTTCATACCAAGTATTCCAGTGTTGGTACCATGACTTTCTCATATTCATTGTGAAGAAATTGTTTTCACTGAAAAACTAGACTTGCTTTTGAATCAGATGGTGAGATTCCAAACTGTGACTGCGTACCTTTCCAAAGCACGAACCACTGTCATGCCTTTGGCTGTAATCACAAGCATTTCTACCAGATATGCATTACTGGATAAAAGCAGAGCTATGGTCCTGTTAGGTATTCTTTGCATACTAATTCAGCTGCAGTCATAACCAAGATATTAGGCAGTGTTTTGTAGTTGAGGTATACTGTGGGAAGAGGAAAGGTACTGAGGAAGTACTTTGAAGACTTACTGTATCTGCAGAATTAATATCTGATTTAATAACAGTAAAATAAGTACACATTACACCCAGTAAAATCACAACTCATTAATAAAATGAATGAAGTCAAATGGATAGTGGCACAAAACTTGTAAGACTTTAGAGGAAGACAAAATTGGAAACGTAGAATTTGGATATGCATATTAACAACTTAACCTTTAAGAATATAAATATTGATTTTTTTTTTTTTTTTTTATATGTCAAACAGAAGCTCCACCAGCTGCAAAATTTCAATACATTAATGGCAGTGATAGGAGGCCTCTGTCACAGTTCCATTTCCAGACTCAAGGAAACGAGCTCATGTGTTCCTCATGATGTAATTAAGGTTGGTATTGCTCCTCTACATTTTACAAATAGGATTTCTTTTAAATTTTTTGTCATTGCACACACAAAAAAACAACATTACTTCATTGGATAAGATGGAGAGAAAGACAAAAAAAAAAAAAAGGAAGACTTCCTTTAGTTTTGGAGGGTTTTTTGTCATTTCATCTCTACGACACCAGTTACTCCTACACTTCCAACCCCAGCTTTCGTCAAGATTTATATAGCTTCTCTAAAGTTTCTCTTTTAATACTCAGATGTGACAAGCTGCATATTCATTTATATGCAGTGGTACAGAATAGCATTCAAATATGAAAGCAGAGAATTGGATCCTAGAACATTTGAGAACAAACCTATTGTCATCCATAGCAAGATTCACCATCCTAAATCCATTAAATGCTTGCACAGAGCTCTGCACTTTGTTTAAAACTGAAAGGACTGGTTTTGTTCATCTGATCTTTCCCTATGACAGATTTTATCTAGTTCAGACTTAACAATCTTAGCCCTAATACACACACATTATAATACAGAGCAATGTTAGGAATCAGTTGTAATTTCCAATTAATTTCTTATCAAATAGAGATGGATATTTTTTTTTTGCTAAAATTCCAGCTACTAAAACTGTGAGGGAAAGCATATTTTTCACAATTAAATGACTCCTTAAGAGATTTCTTTTTAAGAGGCTAATATGTTTTATTATTTTATCTTGTTTGGAGTCTGAAAAATTTTGTATAGGTATCCATTGACCCTGTTTTGATCACAGTATGATCAACTTGAATGAACAGTACATGCCTGGAATATAGACCAGAAGTATGACCTCCCCTTAATAATAGTTGCAGCTCTCAGAATCTATAAAATCAGTTAGCAAGCTTATTGTGGAAGCCTGTAGTTTTACAGATTTTGTCATTATGAGGAGTGGACTGCATATGTGTCCATCATTTGAATAACTTCTTCCATCAAGAAATTGTAATTGAGTGTTAATAGGAAGCAGGTAAATGAAAGCTGGTACACACTTTAAAGTTTAACTATAAGAAGCAGTTTGTGAATGTTAAAAATCAAGGATTTAGCCAGGAACTTACACAAGAAAACATTGGTCTATTGATTTTATAATGTTAAGAGTCAGCTTTGTACCTCTATAGTTTTAAACGAGGGAAATATTTATACTGCTAGACTTATGATTAATTTGGCCTTTACAACAAGTCCGATATATTGTTTCTTTTCCATTTCCATGCAAAAATGTTTTTCTAAAAGCAGAGGTGTGCCACCTTGAACTGTAGTGGGAGTTCTGGTCACGCTGTGATGGGTCCATAGCACAGCATAGGGTTTCTCTGCCAGGATTTTCCAATTCCAGCAATTCCAGCTGGTGACCTGAAAGCCAGAGAGTGCATTCCACATTTCAAGGTGAAGGTGGTTGCTTTTATGAAGGTCAGAGAGCTTGTGCTGTGCTTATGCATTAACTGCATACACATTCCTTTGATTTGAGAGGATCCTATTTCTTTTCTTTGACTAAATAGGGAATGTAGGAAGACCAGCATTTTAGATTTAGATTAGGCTATAGATTTGCCATCTATAATTACTTACTATAGATCGTTAAATTGGGTGAGGTGAATACCTAGATTTCATTTGAAGCCTAAGGTTTTAAAATCTGTTTCAAGAGTCATTGTGAGTAAACCCCTTAACAATAACATGGGAAATTCTTGTGCTCTATAACCAGAACAAAATGAGTAACCAATTTTGATTTTTTTGTTTTCTTTTTATTTTTAGGTGTTTAATGAAATGACGGAACTGCTTTCGTCTTACAGAAATTATGATAGTTATCGACGTGCCTATAACGAGTGCAGTAACTTTAAGATCCCAATCCTTGGGGTCCATCTGAAAGACTTGATATCACTTTATGAAGGCATGCCAGACTACTTAGAGGACAAAAAAATTAACATATACAAACTATACTCTCTCTATAACCACATAAATGAGCTGATACAACTCCAGGAAATGCCACTTCCCCTGGAGGCTAATATGGACCTTGTTCATTTGCTTACAGTAAGTCTGTTAGATGAAATATATACTTCCATTTTAGAAATAATTTCATATACCTCTCAAACAACTAATAGATACTATTGTAAGATTTTTTTTTTTTCTATAAGGAAATATACAATAATAGAAGAAGGGAAAAAGTGATACTGATCTATCTGACAGCAAGGACAGAAGTGCCAGTTCAGCAGTACCCTTCCAATTATTTCTATAAGGGAAGGAAATGTTTATTTCTGTTTTGCTATAGTAGTATGCATGCTCTCTGTACTTTCACTAAGGAAGCACTTAGAATCCTCTGCTGATTAAGCCTCGATAGGGAGAAAGGTAGAAAGCTTCCTTAGATGCGCTGTGGAGGCAGAAGATTCCTTGTGTTTAAAACACAAACTTTCATGTAAAAGTTCAGTCCTTGAAGATGTGTAGGGTTAAACATACCACATTTCTCACCAAGTTTCTTCTTCTGTCTGACATAAATGTTAGTCAAATATAGATGTTGTATTACTCTTCTAGTCATACCTAATCAGTGCCATTTTGCTAACAAAATTGATACTACCTAGGACATATATCAAAACAATAGTTTTAGCTTCTCCTAGTAAATTAAAATACTACTTTGCATTAAAATAGTAAATCTACCTTTCTTGTTTCTCAAGTTTTTTTGGCCTTAACAAGTAACTCAACTTGGAAAAATTAGATTGGCTGCTTCCACTTTCTGGTTACAAGCCCTGTTTCAGTAAAAGGCCAGTAGATAAAAAATGGTTATGTACTTGAGGTTATTTGTTTCCTTTGGGAGCACTTGTGTGTGAAATTAAGCACATATGCCCAGGGCCTGAAATAGAACTACATAAAGGGAATTTCTTCCTGCAAAATGTTTTAAATGTTTTGTCTCAAATTGTTGTAAGTCCCCTTACTATTTTTTTTAAATAATGTTTTATAAAAATGGCTATTACACATATGTAGAACTCGGTCCACAGTTTCATGCAACTATATATGGCAGGACATAAATTAAAAGAAATACTTCATTTCAAAGCAGGGCCTTCTAATCTGCTAATATTCCAGAGTATGTAATTTTTCTGTTTGTTCCCTGATTTTTCCAACAGTCTTTCTCCTTCTTTTGTTTTCTTTAGTCATATGCTTTCAAATTAGTAGGCAAATCAGTTTGAAGAAGTATTATTAATTACATATGTAAGTCAGTAATTCGTAGAAGTATGGTAACATTTGGACTTCTGTTTTTTGAGTGTCAGAAACTACTTTAAGATTTCCCCAAGCATCTAAAATTATTCACTATTATGACTACAGCAGTAATTCTTGCAGTTGTTCACAAGAAAATTATTGCATATCTTAAATTTGAGTAAGGTTATTCATTGGATGAAATAACATACTTTGGTGTCTAAGTTTATATACATGACTGCTGCAGTCTTGACTCTCTGTAAAAGGTTATATTTTCTTTGGACTTGCCATAGATTAAGAGTTATAACACATTTTATCTGTTTTTTCTATTCAATCACATCTCCACTGTGAATATTTTAATGTAAATATTCAGAAAGTGTCACGTTACCAGTCTTCAATTTTAGCTTGAAATTTGTTTCCAGTCAATAAAATATTTGCTATCCTATTTTCCAGGACATATGAAAAGAAAAGGTATAAATTTGATAATTTTTTCAAATCCCCTTATTTACTAAGGTGTAATGTTTCTCACTTTACATAGCTGCTGTTGACAGCTAAAGGTTCTCACTAAATATATGCAAGTCCATCTTTTATCCTCATCATGTACTTCTTAGTTCAACATGATCACAGCTGGATTGGCTACATATGACATATTTCATTGGACTGGTGCTTTTGTGCTTAGTTGCACAATAGACCACTTGAATATTATGGGAGTAACAGGTTTTTTCAGGTTACTTATTAACTGACTGCTAATTATGTCTACAGTCACTTGCTGTGCTAATGTCTGAGGCTTTGTAATGTTACAGATTTCCAGATAATGGCAGTAACAGTATGGAATTTAGAAATGTACCCATTTCAAATAATTGTGAACACCTGTGCAGCTCAAGTGCATTTTTTTCTATGTGCAGCCTAAATTAAAAATTAATCCACCAAAAAATACTAATGCATACCAGGAACAAGTTTATCAAGTAGCAGTGACTGGTTTTGGATTAAACTAATGTGTTTATTTTCAGCTGTCCCTTGATCTTTACTACACAGAAGATGAAATTTATGAGCTTTCATATGCACGAGAGCCACGAAGTCACCGAGCTGCCGTAAGGGCCTTTACAGATTCTTAGCAAAAAGATATTTTTTTTTATGAGTAACATAACTTTTCTCCCTTGCATTACTTTTATTTTATGCAAAACTGAAAACTTTTTAGCTTTATAGACTGGGCAAAATCTGTTAAAGTGTAAATTGTTTGGTTGATAATGAAGCCTAAACTAGAATGTATGGGAGAGTTGACACCATATCAAGTTTTGTAATATGAACACAAACATAAATTAGAATACTTGTGTAGAGACATGACATCAGGCTCCATCTTGGCAACTGATACTGATTCTTTTAAATGAAGAATGCTTATGTGATTCAAATGATGAAACCCATGAATTTTATATTGTAGTTTTGTTCCTGTTTTATAAATATGGAAAAGACGATGAATTTACAGGGCTGTCAGTGAACTGTGACAATTTAGGGAACAACCACTGTTTTGGACAGTTCAGGGAAGAGCTTCCTCTGAAGCACCATGTAATTATCAAAAGTATGATGCTGGGTCCAACAGGCCATTTCTGCAGTCCTGTATCACATAGTCTGTTGTTGCAAATGAAAGAAGTGTAATACTGAGAATCTTTCTATGTGTTACTAATGAAGTCTCATTCAATTTATTCTAGCCCTTGACACCTTCCAGACCACCAGTAGTTGCAGACTGGGCCTCAGGAGTAGCCCCAAAACCTGATCCAAAAACCATCAGCAAGCATGTTCAGAGGATGGTAGATGTAAGTATGGTTGGCCCATTTACCTTAAGTCGTAGCCTTAATCTCTAGATATGAGAAAATACAAAGAAAGGGAAAATTACTGGACTCATTCAAACCTATGCTGAGTTTTTAAGCACTTCTGTCCTCACAAATAGGTATTCCTGCCTAGCTGTAAACAGCAGCAGCGGCTTGTGAGGCATGGAAGGAAATTCCTTAAACAGCTAAGGAGCCAGTGGGCAATGTGTATGCTGGTTTGTATACTTCCAGAGTCGTTCTTCCAAGGACTCAGCAAGTCCATATCTACCAGGGACTTTAACATCTTGTCATTCGTGGAGTCTGAAAGGGGGCCTCTCAATGGCTTTGTTGCTAGCAGCCACTGCTTTTATTCTCTCTTTTGGGTCACCAGCTTTACTGGAAACCATCACGTAAGATCAGGTGATTGATTCCGAAACCGACAGGGAGAGAGAAGTAAAGAGTTTCTCTTTTGCATCCCTGCTTCATCTCTTTTCCTTTTAAACACTTCTAATATTGCTAGGTAATACTAATATTGCTTTGATACACGCTGTTCTGGAATATATTTCTAAATTTGGCCTAGGTGTGCTCCTTGCCTTAGGGCCAGAGACAAACTCTGATCTCAGTCCAGAAATAGAAATATGTGTCTACGTGACAATTCTGTCATTCAACTATGTTTCACGTAACAGTGACCTGATGAAATAAGCTAGTCAGCTACACTGATCTGGCTACAGAGATCATCACTGAGAGCACTAATTGAGAGAATTAGTAAAAATTGTATATGTGTGTGTGGACATGATGATCTTAAAGTGAAACTAAAAAAATCTGTCATTGTGTAGGAAAGCACTTAGTCCAACCTATGTTGACCTACCTACATTTTGCTTTAAATCAAGAAATCGTAATGCTTCTTTAGTGTCAAGCAGAAAAAGCAGTTAGATTGTTACACTGTTTAATAGATACGGGGAGAAAGCGGGAGAGGAAATCCATAAACATTGTGGAGACTTTCTAAAGTGGTAATTTAGCCCATCCTTGTTATAACCTATTCTACTATTATCTTGCACAGTCTGTCTTCAAAAATTATGACCATGATCAGGACGGATACATTTCCCAGGAAGAATTTGAAAAGATAGCCACCAGTTTTCCATTCTCATTTTGTGTAATGGCAAAGGACTGGTGAGTACCCAGTTCTGCTTATCAACTTTATAGCGTCTGTTTTGGGAGGGGGTTTTGGGTTTTTCTGTTTAAATTTAATTTCTACCATTAGGGTAGTAATATCATCTTCTTGACCCACAAATAGAGGTGAAAACATAACTGACAAAAGCATCTTTTAATTGTGTTGTGAATGACATCTCCATGAACTTCCAGCAGTGGTAACCAGGCTGATGTAGAAGGAATAACAGATAATAGAAACAAATTTTTTTTTTTGAATGACATTCAGTATATACTACTACAGAAATTTCCTAAGGTGAACCTGTCCTTCAAAAATAGAGAGTTGGAAAATGTATAGTTTGGTTAAGAACAATTTTTTTTTTAACAGATTAAAGCTTGGAAAAATGCAATAGTGATTATTCAGAGGTTTTCTATGAAGTAGTTTTGAGGTTGCATCACATATGCAGAATTTCATTTATCTTTACAGGCTGCATTTAAAATGTGTAGTTAAGCTTCTGTAGCCTTTGGGAGCAGCTGACAAGATTTCTGAGATCACTGTAGTTTTTGGTCCATGAAACTATTGCCATTATAAATTGTGAAGAAAGATGTTTAATTCTCCTTATGCTTTTAAGAAAATGTATGTCTCACAAACAACTTTTCTTATTTATTTTCAGGGAAGGCCTGATTAGCAGGGATGAAATAACAGCTTACTTTATGAGGGCTAGCTCAATCTATTCCAAATTAGGACTTGGCTTTGCTCACAACTTTCAAGAAACCACTTACTTAAGGCCTACTTTCTGCGACAACTGTGCTGGATTTGTAAGCTTACTTTTTAGTAAATTACATTAATGCTTTTCGGAATAATGCCTTTTTTAATCCCATAATCACCATATGCAGAAATGGACCTATATAAAACACCAGTGAAGCTATATAGAATACCAGGCTTCTGCCTGTGTACCTATGTAAGGTACCCGTTACAACCCTCTTGGCAGTACTACTGTCTGCTTAAACATGGACCCTACCTTGTGGCGTTCAGCTGTGTCACCAAACAGTCTCGGGCAAGACTTCCAAATCCAGAGCCTTTCACTCCACGAGGCTGTAGGAACTCATGTCCTGGTACAGATATGACATGCCCGCTGCCTATGGCACAGAAAGACTTAGTAAAACTGTCTGTCCTATCAATCCCTAGCTTAGCTGGGATCAAACAAGGGTGCTGAGATAGATGGGGAATTCTATTCCAGCTCTGTAACTTCTCTGGGGGCTGTCAGATCTACTAATGTATTCATTAGAGACTAGCTCAAGGTATTTTGTTTGTGATTGAGGAAGACACATCAAATATTTTGTCTATCTTATGCTAAAAGAGGTAAATAGTTCATATTTTGACCTTACCATTAAAAGGGTAGAAAACCAAGATATTCTACAGGTACTCAGATCTTAGAAATGAGTGGAGCTTTTAGTGGATTTTTATATCTGGAGGCATCAAGTGTACAGAGAAATATATTAATACATAGTCTTTTTGTTTATTTGAATTTCAGCTATGGGGAGTCATTAAACAAGGATACAGATGTAAAGGTAAGGTACTTTATACTTTGTTAATTTTAATCTATAATTGATGGGGAATGACAAAAAAGTCCTGATCATCCTGAGATCCATTGTTATATCTGTGGGCCTATTTGATCTGACATCTCAGGGAGGAGATTGATTCGAGACTAGTATGGACAGATGGTACAGAAGGAAAGCAAAGATGAAAGAACTCATAACTGATAGGTCTAACCCTTTGCAAAACGTCGCTGAATTCAGAGGGTTTGGGAACAGACTCTTCTATTCCAGTGGACACAAACACAAACACTAAAAACTGTGATGCACATTCATATGTATTTTGCAGAGTTTTCTTCCTTATACAGGCATCTGCTTTCTCTGCAACTCCTACAGTCAGGATGCTGTGGCTGAATGTTGCTATTTTATATTTTCACAATGAAATGGAGTTTTAGACGTATACAGCAAAGGGATGTCGTTGGTCTGTTTACCAGATGCATGTTGTTACAGGTAATGCACGAAGAGGACACCAAAGAAGCTTTCTTACTTCCTGGGGAGGCAACACAGTGTGAAAGGGGATCTCAGATGCTACAACAGAGCCACTGAATCATGTAAATTTTGTTTTGTTTACAGACTGCGGAATGAACTGTCACAGGCAATGCAAAGACCTGGTTGTGATAGAATGCAAGAGAAGACCCAAAACTTCAGTCGCAGACAGCAGCCCAACATCTGCTCTTGCTTCAAGCCTCTGCCCAGTAGGAGTCAAAGAGCAATTCCATGGTGAGAAAAGATCAAAAGATCTGCATAATCTTTCATTTGCTCCTTTTTCTTTTAAAGCTGAGTTTTACAGCATTGTTTTGTTAGTTAACTGCAGTTACGAACATGTAAACTATATACTCTATAAAAATTATATAAACATATATATAAACTATATCAACATATAAACCAGAACCAGGCGTAAATGAGCCTGTACCAAGTAACACCATTCCAGTTCTAGTCCGAATAGGTAAGGACTACTTTTCTGGGAGACCTCTTGTCACACTACACAATGTGCAGTGCACAAATTCTGCAAATACTGAGGAAATTTTCTGCCAGACTCATGAGAACTAGATGCCATGAACTGAACAGCTGACAGGTTCCTTTAACTCTCTCACCTTGTGACAAGCAGGTCTTGGTACACTCCAGTTCTTACCACTGTTGTCACATTAAGCAACTACTGAACTGTTTCACAATTCTGACTCATGTTTCAGTGTGGAGCCTATTAAGTCAGTTTGCTTATGTATATGAGTGCTAGGAGAACCAAGAGCTAATTGTGTTTATTTTTTCCACTTCAGTAGCTGAATCTACAATTCTTCTTTGTCCATCCATCTTTCATTTAATCAGAAATGAAAAATCTGCACCTGTTCTTTTTGCCTTATATCAAACAAGCTGTATAAAATTTTCATATTGCGTATCACCACATAGGCCTCCAAAGGAGGAAGTGTTGTCCTTGAGTAAGACCTCAGGCTACTTTTATTTTTCTTCTGGTTTTGATGTTCCAACTCTCTCCATACTCACTTTCTTTGAATTTCTATCCTGCTTTTTGCCTGTATCTGACATTCTTCAAATCTACTTCTTAGCACTTTGATACCAATCTTTTGTGTTGTATTTAAGATTCATCCTGCTGGATTTCATCTCAGACTTCTTATTAGCACTTATGTGGAGCACAGCGCAGCCAATTTCTCTTAATAACTGACCGTGTGCATTTCTGATCACACCTGCAATGGCTGCAGCGCTGCGTAACAGCCACCTCATGGGATGTCACAAGCTTAGAGAGATGGGACTGTAGTATGTTGCCCTGTCATCACCCAGTGTGCCAGAATGTGGTACCTCTCAATGCTACATGATGTTGAAGAATGAGAATTCAGGTCTAGGTTGAAGGTGTAAACCTCATTTGTTCATCCATATCCTCTTTAAATCTCCAGAGCCTGCAGCAGCTAATGGACTTTGTTCTTTCCCCCTGTGTTTGAATATGCAGTCTCATTTTGTTTTCTTCCCAACCACATACATTACTTTATCTGTAACATCTTTTTAAAAATCCTTTAATCTCATCTTTTGCCCACTGCTTCTAACATTGTGTGCTTGTCCCCACCCCACTACCCCAGTTTTTACTTCTAACTGCAAAAGTATTTTAGGATGACCTATACAAAAGCAGTGTAAAATTAAAAATGTCATTATTTCACCTTTGTAAAGTGGGTAAATTGTATTTTAGATCTGCAAGCTGTGATAACACTGAACTAACATCCTGGTTTAATCTTCCAGCACAAGCACTGGCCTATATAAAACCTCTTAGCCATGTAGAGGCTTTTCTCTAGCTGACCTTGATTATACACCTGTTTTCTTCTTAAAGATCCATATTTACGATACTGAGACAGAGCAAAAAGTTGTTCCAAAAGACACAACGGAGAAAAACTTCCAGTGCCACCTATGTTAGAGAGCAATTAATATAAAATCAAGAAAGAATAAATGTTGTTTTAGTTATTAAAATCATGTTTAATTACTGTGCCTTCTGTTTCTCCTTTTCTGGGATAAGATCTTGACTCCATTTACCATATATATTCTACAGGGCAAGAAGAAGGAGCATTCACATTTCCTAATGGAGAAGCAGTGGAACACCATGAAGACAGCAAGGACCGAACCATTATGCTCATGGGTTCCTCAGCTCAGAAAATCTCAGTGAGACTGAAACCAGCTGTGGTTCATAAAGGTACACAGACTGATCACGCACCGCTGGCTGGTGATGCATCTCATAGGCAGACACAGAAGAAAGAACATAGGATGCCAGAAAATCCTTACCTTCAGGCAGCTCCACCATCCCCATGTCCAAGCCCAATTCTAGGCCGCAAAAAGGCATACGTTAAATGGGAAAACAAGGACTCCACACAGAAAAAGAAGGAGGAGCATCACAGCTGTAAACCCTCATACCGGGAACTTGAGCAGGTACATACACGATGAAACAAATTGTTTTACACAATGCTACTGTGAAGTGGTTGGAGGTTGTGGGGGAGTGACTGAGTGGGATGGTGTCACCTTCCTCTAGTGTGATTAATTGCCAGAACAATCCCTGAGTGACATCATAAATTCTTAGCCACTTTAACTCCAGCAATGCTTCAGTTCAAGCATAAATTTTAGTACTAGAACAGGGCTTAGGGAATAAATTTTGAAGCCCATGTTATGATTACACTGATTCCTGTCAGCCTTAAAAGTGACAGGCAAGAATGTGAACATAATCCAATTGTTTAGGACAGGTTTTTACTCCATAAAATAAGTAACATAGTCCTGAATTTCTTCGTGCTTTTGGTGGCCTCTCCTCCACTAAGTGACATATGGGCTGGGGCAGGCGGAGAGCTCTGCTTTTGTTCAACTGACAGTGAATCCTCCTTTTTTTTATAACTTTAAGTCACCAAGAAATTTTGCTGTGTGAACAGACATGATGCCTCTTGCTAGAATTCACCTGCATCAGCCCAGTTGTGGATCACCTTACTTTACAAGCTTTCTGACAAAATAGGTATTCATAAGACTGTGTCACCTCAGATTTGGCCCAAATTCAGGTTTGTAGAAACACCTTTTCAGACAGATTAAAGAGATTATCACAGTATCTACAATGCAACTGATCCAGATATGATTGTGAGGAAGACAGGCAGTCTTACTGTCATACTTTACTCATTACTATCACTATTCTGAGATAGACCAACATGGAAACAGTCTGACAACAGGACCACAGCCTGATCTTTCAATGATCAGTGTAACTTTTGAAGTATCCTTTGCTGTTGATAAAGTGGACTCATCTTTCATGAAAGATGGTAGGTTTATTAAGACAGAGATTAAATTATCACCAATCTTCCAGTACAGACCACTTCTCTTTGTCAACTGAACATTCAATATAGACAAGGATGTGAAATGTGGATGCTCTTGTAAGAATGTCCCATTCACGTGAGTCCCACAATTTATACTTGTCCCTGCTCCTTCAGCAGATCCTGACCTCAATTACTGAACAGCAGCTGATGTTATAAATGAATGTCTTTGAATTATTGTATGTCAGTTTCTGCATTAAAGAGCAGTAAAGTGTGAGCTGTGTTCTCATCTCCCCTAGATTACTGCTGTTATGAGAGGAGCAGTGAAGAGTGGATAAGTGCAGGTTGTGGACATGCTGGAATGTTTTAAGACTACACAAAGGATAGAAGAGTGACTAAAAAAGGGTTAAATAAGTTACTGGTTCTGTTCCTCTGATAAGAGCTACACCAATTTAACGTTTATGCCAGTCAACCTAAACCTACAACCAGACAGTCCTGAAACAAATTCAAACTAATATACCATTCTCTATTTTTTGTTTTGTTTAGGAAAGAAATATTCTAAAGGCAGACAATGAAGGTTTAAAGATCCAACTGGAACAGGCACATAAAACAATTGAATCTCTCACAATACAGAGAAAAAACCATGTAGTTGACAACCTACAACACGGAGACTGCTCCTAGCAGACAAGAGAGGAAATCTCCTAAGGAGGAATGTAAGACTGAAGGAAGGGTTGTGATAAAGCTGCTTTACCAAGTGAACTGGAGAGACAGTCTGAAGGATGTTAACAGAAATATTCTCTTTACTCAACACATTTCCATATTAAACGTACACTCCTGATTGTATAAATCCATTCCTTTGACTTTTAAAGGTAATTTAGCATTATCTGTGCAATGAAAACAGTACCTTCTGGGTTTGCTTTTAAAAGGAGTGACGTTGCTGAAGTTTCTGTGGATGATGACAACCATGTGGGTTCCCCAGTGGCTTGGCTGCCAGCAGCACACCTTACTCTACAAGTAGCTATTCACAAGACTGCCACCTCAGATTTGGCCCAAATTCAGGTTTGTAGAAACAAATGTTGAATAAAGCTGAGTATTTAAGTAAAACTGTACAAATATTCCACTAAGAGAAAGTGTCTTCTCATTGTGGCTGAAACCAATTAAAGTCATGAAGTAAAGTGTCATCTTTATTTCCAAAGTTTAACAAGAATATTAAAATAAGTAGTTAAGCTAATATTTGATTATTTGATTCTTAGACTTTAAGATGAACTGACAGTTTTTTTTTAAACCTCTTTCAGAGCTTTAGAAGTCCTGCTGCTCAAATGTTTTCTTTTGTTAAGGTAAAATAGATGAGGCTATAGAGAGTTTACACTGAATACTGCCTCCATTTTTGTGTTCCATGCCACTGCTTGGAACACTTAGCTCTGTTTATTTGGCTTAAGGGATAACATGTTGTCCACATATGGTAGATAAGGGACATGGTTGATTATTTTTCTCTCATGTCAAAGTGGACACTGTTGTTGAGTAGAACCTCAAGGGCCGTATTATGAGGGGAACTACAGTAATCCCAGTGCAACGGTTACTGTATTCCAGAGATCCTACCGTCTTCTGGTTCTAACCAAGGTTTCTTCACTTTCTGTCTCCTAGATTTTACAGGCACTTTAGGTAAACAGTCAAGATTGAGTGTGCTCTTCTGTGTGTAAATTTTGTATAGTAAAAGGTGCTAGGGAGGTAACTTAGTTTTCTTAAAGCTACAAAGTGTACATATTGTTAAGAGACAACAAAATGGTCTTTCAAGTTACTGATAAATCTACTTGTCAGAATAGCCAATTTCAAAATTGCATTTACATACCAAGAGAAACTGTATGCTTACAGTTGTATAAATCTTGCATTTATCAAACAGGGATTTGTCATCACACATTTAAACATCAGAAACTTATGACTTTGATATATTTATCTACAAAGTCCACTTAATGCTCCTCAAAACTTGTAAGTTACAAGTCCATTGTAGATTGACATTTAGTCATCCTGTTACAATAGCACATGTGCTTTGTGTTCAGTGATATAAATATACATTCTATCCACAGTTTACAGCAGGTATGCAAATGCTTTATTTATTAAAAAAAAAAAAGTCTATTTGAAACTACTTGCCAGTTTAGTGTTTCTAAATTCTTGTTTTGAACTTGGATTGTGCTTGCATCTTCATGTATAAGTAAAAACAAACAGAGGGAAGTAGTAGTAGTATACTGATTTTGTTACCTTACTGTAAATAACTGAAATGCATAGGACAAAACCCAGCAGCTGTGAAGATTGTGCAGCTTTTTTTTCTCATACACTAAACCTGAATTTATTAACAATTAACAACATGTAATTGCACTTTGATCAGTGAAGCAATCAGAAATTGATACATGATTATAAATTTGTACAGTCTTAAATGCTAATTTAATGTTTCTCTGTATTGTCTTCTCATTCCTACAAATGATCTGAGTGACTTAAAAGGGATCAGCTTGCAGGAATGTCTTACAGAACAATTATGTGGTGCTTGCTTCGTGTATGCTGAAAACTTCCTGCTTCAAAGAAGTCAGTTGATAGCTGGAGAATTTCAGAGCTCTCAAAGTACCTTCAGGTTCTCTGCCCAAAGCCCCTTACAATGTTTTTTTTCTTTTTTTTAAATGGTCTTAGTCCCTTCTTCTTTCTTTTTGGACTTCCTTTTTCCTGCATGAAAGACTAATATCAGAAACTGACTACAGGGATACTGCTAAAACTGACAAAGCTACTGAAGAAAAATCACTCACATCTGTATTACTATTCAAGCTGCTTGATGCTAGGAAAAAAGATACAATTAAAGTACTAAGTGCTGTTTAAGAGTCATGTTAGTAAACAGTGATATTCAAATTTATCTTGTCATGGCTAATTTAAATTAAAAGTGCTCACCTTTATTCCTTCTCCAGGCTCAGCTTTGTTTCATGTACATACACGAAGGAAGAAAAAACAAGTGTGTGTCCTCCCACCCCAACGACTGTTTATTTTTTAAGTGTGAATTCTGATCGTTCAAAGAGAAAAATAAATAGATTGAGTAATATCACAACTAACAAGGCAAGGCTACTGTTCATATTCTGATTAAACACAACTGTCTTTAAGGTAGCTTATATATATTTTGGGAAATGCATTTTTGTTACAGTAGCAGTCTGTTATTTTATTGTAACTGATCTCTGTGTCAACCTGAAAAACTTTTGTTTCAGTGCTGTTTGAGAAGATTAAGAAAATGTACAGACTGTAAAGAATTTATATAAATTGTAATATTTCCGTTTACTATTTATAATAGAAAAAAAAATTAAAGTTGCACTTGATGCCTCAGTTTGTATCTCAAAGAAATCTAAACCACCTCTATTCATCTTCCTTGACTCTGTCATCTGATCACTTCTGCAGGATTAACCCAGTACCAGAGTCCCTAGTCTAGCTTCACCTTCTGTGAGCCAAGCCTTGGAACGCTGCCTCAGACAGCTTAGGAAGCCAGGTACTTGCAGATTGCTCTTTTGGTATTTTAGTGGTTGACAGAGTACACTGTTTTGCTACTCACTATTCCAAGTATTATAAACCACAATTCTTTGTTAGCAAAATCTCTCACTTTTGTTAAGAATGATAACTCTGAAACGATTTACAGCATGATAACCAAGTTTCAACAAGGCTTCTGCCATGTCTGCTCATGCTGGCTATTACACAGGCACCACTGTCGCATCCCGAAGACTTGCTGATCTCTACCTTGTAGTAAACCTCAGAATACCTGATCTCAAAGATGCTTTTATATGGGGTAATGAAGATTCATTCAGTTGTCTTCAATCATCTGAGGGAGGTGAGGGAAGAAGACAAGGAGTGCAGACTAGCTACTGAAAACACAATTCTTCTTTATAGGAGCTCTACAGTCTTGTACATACAGAACAAGTTGTGTTTTACTTCATTATAGAAATGAAAAAAAAAAAAGAAAGAAACTTCAGAAGTAATTGGAAGATTTCCATAATTACATAACGACAAAATTATTTTTTTTTAATTAAGATAAAATTTTTTACTACGATAAAATTTAACTGAGATTCCTTAGTAATCCCAGGTAATATAATAGTGATATATTTGTGACATGCTCTGTCTGTTGAAATTTTCCTGTATTGTTACCTACAGCCTTTTTCATTTTGGTCAAAATACAGCTGTTATTTTTCATCATAAAAAGTAAGTTCCATCACCATTATAAATCAGCAGCAGGAATTCTTCCTTACAAACACAGGAGGAACAAATGATAGTGGATTCAAATCACACTACACAAGTGATGCAAATAACTTCAAATACAGTACTTTATTCCTCAGTGTTTACAGCTGTTAACAAAAGTATCTCTCCCAAATCCTGAAAAAACCCACTCACCTATTTTTCAATTCTCAAATAAAACAATATTCATATAGATATTCACTAAGTGTGATTAAACACAAAAATGCTCACAAGCATGTATGAAAATCTTTTACTTACAGCAGAATTTTTGAAAATGCCTTTTTTCAAGATAAACATACAAAATTTGAGAAGAAGTTTAAATCAATTATTTTCATGGTATTGCATCTTTTGATAAATTAAAAGCATACGTTCTGACAACATAGGACAGAAAAGGATACCTCTATGAAATGTAGTGGTGCTTACATTAGTTTTCAAGTACTGGATTCACATTTTGGAATTATTTAAGAAAAACTGAAATGGTCAAATTAAAAAACCAAAATCTCCAACCTGTTTAAATTTACATCTTTTATATGGTCTACATAAATATAACCGAAATACGATATTGAAATAATTTAACTGTTAGAATTACACATGGGCACACAGCTGGTTCACTTGATGGTTTACTTCATTCTGAACTGCCCTGCCTGCTACAAAGAGGATAAACTGTTGAATGTAAAAGCACCAAGGGACACCCACATACATAGTTAAAACAGTTCAACTCAACCAGTGCAACTTCACATCTTAAGACTGTGGAAATCTTTATGCACAGTATAGCCATTTGATTTTCCCAGCATATTTCCTTGGTGAAGCTAAATGCTTGACTGCTGTTTGGAAATTACTTGTAGGAAAAAACAACACTGAATGAGCAAAACAAATTTTATATTAAAGCTTTGGTTGTTAAAAACTACTCTCTCCATTCCTTTGCTGACCAACACTCTACCTCCAAGGCCACTTGGTATGTCATAAATTTGTGAGCTATTCCAGAGCATTAGGCAAAAAAACAAGCTCAAAAGCAAGAAAACCATTACTACGCTCCCACATGACCCATGAGGGCCTCTCTTCATAATGTCTGCAGAGGCTGGCAACAGCTGAGGCCAGAAAGGAGTGCAGGAAAAAACTGGCAAAGTAAATATTGCTAGCAGTTGGGTGAAGTTAAGCCATTATTTCAAGAGTTCACACCCAAGCTAACATGTTCAAGCAAGGCAAACTCCTGCCCTTTTTTGTTAGGCAGCTGCCGGGACCCTAAGGTATGGCCGGATCTATCACATCGCAAGCAGCATTCTCAAGCAGACTATGATCAGAGAAGAAATAACAGGAGAGAAACTTTTGAAGTTTATCTGGATTAAAGTTTTAAATTAAAAGGTTGGTGATGGCTAATTAATAAAATCTGAAACAGGCTTTTGGAATAGATAATAAATTGGTTTTAAACAGAGCTTTACATTCATGCACAAAGCTGCCTATGAAATGGGACATGACGTGCACATTCCTGAAAGTAAAATAACCTCTTTAAAGCGTACTAAATATGGACACCAATAGGAAATTTGTGCAGAAAAATCTCTTAACTGTGGAACATAAAACCAAAATCAAATCCTGAAGTTCAACCTGCAGTTAAGCCTACAGCTACATACTCAAAGTGCTTCAAGGTTTCTGTGCTATGCAATCAACAGGCACCCCCAGGTTTACCAGATGCCTTCCCGAATGTCTCTCTAGTAACCTGCCCCTGACAAACACTGTCATGGGTATATACTTGGGCATCATCTCCCTCTTCCACCTCTGCACTCAGGAGTGGCCTCACAGCAGGGGAGAAGATCTAAAAGACACTGAACAACAGAAACTGTCATCTTTAACTGACAGCTCTAAATTTAATTCTTGTCTACACGTATTCACAGCCATAACTGTATGAAAGCTAACTCCTTCTAAAGTAACACTGTCTACGAAGCAGGAGGCACCCACACCATATCAAGACAGCGCTTTTTAGCTTATCAGACCAATCAGTTGGCAGAATAAGAGAGAAATCGCTGAGGAAGGGCGACTGCTGTATGAGATGTCTTATTAGCTGGGCAGCTGGTGATTCCCCAACATAAAGCAGGTGGGGGAGGAAAAAAGAAGGGGATAAAAAAAAAAAAGAAATGGTAAGTTCTTTCTCCAGAAGCGTAGCTTATTCTACCTTTATGTCTCAAGGCTGATTCAGATACGATGACCACGGAAGTCTGCTGCCCAATCTGATCTTAAAATATTTTTATGAAACACCAATAAAATGGAAAACAGGTAAAATAAAAATAGACACTATCAAAACTCACCATGATTATGAATTTATGGTATATGCTCTGACCTTCAAATAGTTTCTGATATATTTCTGAACACACAGAACAGCATTTTATTAGTTTCTGTGGAGTATTAATTCAGAATGCTACTTTTATGTGAAGTCCTGAAAGAAGAAGAAACCTAACTGAATAATTTTGACGAAAGCCTTAAGGATTTTAACATTTAACATAAAAATTTGTTTACATGTCCCACATGAAAACTAGATGAGAAAAAGCCTGAAAGCAGCATTCTAGAGTCTTAAAAGTGTTTCCATGTGGTTATTAGGCCTATTTTGTTTTTAATACATAGCATTTTGGAGCAGGGGAGTGGGCATGCAACAGGCAATAATTAGAGGCCTGAATATAAAATAATATATTTTGTTTCTTTAGAAAGGGTTTTATTCAGTGTTCAGAGGCTTATTTTAAATAAAATGACATAATAAAAAACACCATATGAGCAGTACGAAAAACAAGGACTTTAGTCATCACATTTTAGTATAAAAGTTCTGTTCAGTTAACTAAAAGAATTCAATGACAACATCAGTTGCTCTAATGCAATGATTCATATGGTCATACTTAATTCTAACCTAAATCCAAGTTGACATACCTAAATTCCTGATACCAGTAAACACTACCACTATATTTTGCCAGTTACTCTGTTACTATTTACAGTATTTTAGTATCTTCGGTATCCTCCCCCTCCTCTTCCACCATACGGATCACCATAGCCTCCCCTGCCACCATAACCTCCCCTGCCACCATAATCTCCCCTGCCACCTTGGAAGCCACCTCCACCTCTTCCACCACCTCTGAAACCCCCACCTCCAAAACCCCCACCTCCAAAACCACCACCTCCTCCTCTACCCCCTCCACCCCCCCAGTTACCCCTTCCACCCCCACCCCCACCTCCCCAGCCACCTCTTCCACCACCTTCTTGTCTTTTTTGCCAAGGAGGCATTTCGGGAGGAGGTGGTTCAATCTCTGTTGGTCTGCCTCCACGGTCAGGTACTCTCCCCATCAGAACCTATATGGAAAAATAGGTCATTTTTAGTTTAAAAAAATAGTAATCATAACTAGAAGGGACACAGAGTTCTTCTATGAACAAAGACATGTTGCCTGCTATTTGCAGGAAATATGGTGCCCTCAGTGTGGAGCTTGACAGCAGAATGCCTATTTCCTGTCCTTGTAACTTGCCACAACACAACAGAACTCTGAAAGGGATCCCATTTTCCACCTGTAAAATTGAAATAACTGCAGCTAGCTAGCTCATATTACTCTTGTGAAATCTTTATGAAGAAAACTACGTGCGTGTGAAGTATTAGTATGACAATAAACAATATACATAATTCATACATAATCATTATGAATATATCAAAATATGTTAATATAAAAAAGACTTCTTATGATGCAGCTCTCCTGCTTAAATTTCAAAGTTCAAGCTCAAACCAAATCAGCTTGCAAAAAACAAGCTGGCAAACTGATCTGCAACTCTAAAAGGAATGCCAGTTTGCCTTGGATTAGAAACTACTGGCACTCAGCAGAGAGCTGGAGTGGACAAAATACATAACATACCGCAGTAACACTTTCAAGAAAAAAAAAGAAAAAAGGGATCTTGACTTGGGTGGATATTAGTGTACAAAAAGAGAGCCTGTACTGGACAAAGTTACACAGAACATTAAGTTAAAGAATAAAGAAGTATCCAAGTGTGTCTTTTTTTGTTGCTGTTTTCTTATTTCCTAAACTCTGTGTGATGCATGTTAACGTACTTCTGGTCAGTTCCAGGCACTCCAATCAAAGTCTTCTCAAGAAAAAAAAACCTTTCTCTGAGATCCAATGATAATTAAGAAATTTCAGAATCTTTTGGATCAAAACATATTAAAGGCTATCTAAATGAGGCATAGAACTTTAGAAAAATCTGTAAATAAAGGAATAATAAAAACAGGCTCAGTCACCATTTGAATGGTGAAACTAATGTCATTACTCACAAGCTTCAGCTTTTATCATAGACAAGAAAGCAGTACAATGTTGATTTCTTAATGTAGTCAAACCAAACAATTTTACTTTGCAGCAAAAGGACACTTCCACAGAAACTTTTGTGATCTATGATATACTGATAAACTAAAGATGCTCACTTACGAACTGAACAACATAATCCTGACAACAGATAGCTCAGGAACTGATACTAGAAAGACTTACACATATCCTTAACTTGAGGTATACAGTTCCACCAAACTCAGGAGGTCATTTACACATGCGTGTGTAGGCACACATACACCCTCCCACCACTGTTCCTTCTCATCTGGACCACTAGACTACTGTTTCATCCTGTTGTATGACTGACTGTGTAATAAAAAAGAAGTTGCTGCAATGTTCACTGGAATGCTGCAAACCTTCCTTTCTCCAAGAACCAGAAACGAAATTAAAATACTAAGCAAAGCGTATAATTTCAGCATTACTTCCGAGAGGTCTGTAATCTCCCATGTCCTTTTATCACAACACAGAGAGAAAAAGTGTACCTTGTTGATTGCACAGACTGTATTTTCCCGTGTTGATCCACTACTTGTTCTTATGATCTTCGATAAATCTTCTCGAGCAGCAAGAAGGTGAGCTAATGTAATAGTTGACTTTGGAGATAATGCATAGCGCTTCGGCTGATAGATTCGTGCTATGTCATCTGTTTTTACCTAAATGATAAAATCAAACACAACTAACTTGCTAGGCATAAAACACGCAAACACACTTACCATAAACCATGTACTGGTCTCAGTGTTTCAATTTGAACACAGGGTGTAATGTCTGAAAAGCTAGGTTATCTTACAAAATACAATGCCAGTTGTTGCCAATTCGCTCCATACTGATGGAGCTATTGTACAAAGCAAGCTGCTGATCATGTTTAATTGATGATGAAACTTAGCACCATTAGAAAAGAAACTCTCCTATCCACTGGCATCAAACAGATTCTTTGATGTTTTCCAACATATCTAAAGACTAAAATTTAGGAGTCCAAACTGCTCTCTCATGAGTTTTTCATAGCCATATTTAACTCCTAAATGTGATGAAACGGAGCAGCTTCAAAGTAAGGCAAATTTGTGGAAAAAAAATAATATGTATCAATGCAGCAAAACATTTGCTCAAGCCATGAAAAAGTGAGACTGGGAAAGGGATAAAAGATTTTTTTCCAAGCACACTTCAATGTTTCATTTGTTTAACAAAAAGGAAAAATGCATACACTTTCTAGGAACAACTGTAATGATTTGAAAAATTTGATCTCGGATGGACCAAACAGGTGCTCTTCCTTTACATGACTGTTTTGCTAAGCAATTACTACACCATTTATGGAACCATTTCAGTCTGCAAACTTACCCCTCTTGGGGACTGAAGAAGTTAGAAAAACTCACAAATAATGCCACACCATCAAAAGCAGAGAAAGGTATCAATACTTATTTAATGGTGGGGAAAAAAAGGCAGCCTAACAAATAGCTTTTCTTAAGGACAACAATTTGCCTCTTGGCTTAAAAAAAATAATACCTAAATTATATCAATGACAAAATATTTTCAATCCCCAAAACCTTCTTGAAGAAGTTACAAACACATATTTCTACAAGAGAAATAAGGAAAAAAAAATTAAAAATCATATGTAATTTTGAAATAATATGTAACCTGGGTATTTCTGTAACTGCATACTATTTCACATCAAAAGTCTTTATAAGACAGGAAAATGAATCATCTCACTCATCATTAAAAATCATCACTGAACTATTTATCATCATTAAAAATCTCTTTAAACTATTGCTCTACTGTGGAAGTGTATTCATTGTTTTTCACATTGTCTGAATGGAATAATATCAAGTGACTTAAAATTTTAGTCTGTTTCAGGTAGTCATCAGTTAACTACATTTTAGAAGTATACTTTAAATTTGGAAAATATATTTAGTAGTATTAGTGCAGCTATAAGGAAGTTATACACGTAGGGATATCTCCTGGCTTCTGTGAACTAAATGCCCTTCTATTCCTTTCTTGCAGTGTAAAAGCATTCATGACCCCTTCAGAAATGAAATACTGAGCCATTGCAAAGCAGCACAGCAGCATCTAGACTTATGTCTTCCAGTGATAGTGAGCTTCATGAAACTGATTCTGTCTGCATGTGTCAAGGACAAACTGACACACCAAGAAGACTTGTGATAAGACATACTTTCAGTAAGCTTTCAAAGTTTTAAGACTTATCCACCTTGAGCTTTCTATACAAAACTTTGGAAGAAAAGTTGATCTTCCACCTCATGAGCAAAAACATCTGTCTCCAGCATCCCACATATATAATCATCAAACTACAAATTTTTTGTATCTTATATCTCTAGACTCTTGGATAGAAACAATATATACTTCTAGTTCAGAAATATCAGACTGATTGTATCATAACTATTTTTAAATTCACAGAGTGCTAAGAAGTAGTACAAATTAAATGATCACAATTACAATTATACCAGCAGAGAAAATCCATTTTGGAATTTTTGAAATTTTAGCCACTTGAAGGATTACAGGTAACTGCGTGCTTTCCTCATACAAGCTGCTATTCAAATATCCTGTTCAACTGACCATCTGTTTATTCAGTAGCTTTGAATCCAAGATAGGTAGCAGTCACTGTAATCTCACTAACTTTATGCACAGTCACTCTCTGCACCCAATCTGTGTTAAGGCCCAGTGTTTATCTTCCTCTCACATCTGCATGAGAAAAGCTGATGTTCCCTCCTAGTTTACTTGATTGGAGGGGAGTGGATATAGGAAAAAAAACAGGGGATGGATGTGAACTTAGTGAAGTGAGAAACACCAACAGAGGATGCTAGAATGTATAATTGCAAATCTGTAAATGGTCACAAAGGATGGACTGCACCGTCTGGTCAAATCTTCCCCTTCCTCTATATCTAGGATTCGGATGTTACAACCCGGGATGACAAACTGGTTGGAAAGAAGACAACGTTAACGGAAGTGTATTTACATGGCATATATATTTGGTAGGAAGACTTGGGAAATTGTAGCAGACTCCCATCTACAGGAAGCAAAAAATACATCAAGCTTACCTTTGCTCTGTCTGACCAGCCAAAAGACTGTACTGTCACATCCAGCCTCTTCATTAACATACGTCGGCGACATTCATACTCACTGCAAAGAGCATCATTGATTTTTTCCAATCTTTCCTGCAGTGTTACAATAAAAAAATCGAAACATTCAAATCTATAAAGTTATAGAAATCAATTTAAAGTTCACCCCATTCAGCAACTAAGATGTCTACCCCTGGGTGACCACTATAAACTACATAAAATTAAGGGTGCACCTGTGTAGTGCTACAGTAGTATATATACACAAAATAATTTGACAGTTAATAAGTGGATGAATCAACACAAGGTCTGTTCTATAACATTAATTCTGGAAGTATATGATTAGTATTGTTAATATTTAGCAATTGAATTTTAGTATTAATATTTAGCAACAGAACAGTAACTGTAAAATGGACAAAGTTAGATGAAGCCATATGCATTCATTTTGACCATCTTGCTAAATACAGAAAAGAAACGGAGAAACTTTTTTTTACCACTTGGTCAGAATTCAGTGGTTTTGTTAGCAGTGATTTCCCCACAAGGTTATTTTGAACTTTTGAGAGAATGTCCTTTATCTGAAACGAAACACATACTTCTCAGAACACAAATGATATGTACATTTATTTCACCACAACTTGCTGCAATCACAATTTGCTACTCATAAGATCAAATATAGCACATTTGTTTTAGCAGACTCATAAAACCAGATACACATCTCTTCTGGCTTATCACCCATTACAAAAAGATTTCCCGAATACTTCCACTAACATGACTAACCTCAATATAAAAATATTTTATGGCACACCACTCCTCCTCCCAGCTATAATAGAATGATATCTATATGGCAAATTTATCAAGTGCATGTAGGCAGTAGGACTAGTTAAATTACTCATTTTACTTATTGCTAAGTATTGTAACTACAACTAAGGAAATATAACAATTGGAACCTGGGAGTTCTGTTGCCAAATGCTAGACTTGGCTACAAAAATCCAATGATGGGTGCTGGTAAAAAAGGCAGGAGATATGTTTGGTATGCAGTCATTCTTACTTGCTAATTTTCTTCTAATCCTGTAACTGGTTCCATTTAACATTATGTTTAAGACTTTTGCATTCACTCCAAATCAGCCTTGCTTATACTTCTTACATTAGTTTTTGCCCTCAATAACTGGGGATGAAGTATGCTCTTTCTGCCTTCCAAAATCCACTGCATTCTCCTCTCTCTTTACAAGAAACCTCTACCTCCTCTTCTGGAAGGAAATTCCTTTATCACAGGTCTTCTAAAACAGTTATGAATGCCCACAATACTTGTACATAACTTTCCAGCCAGCCGATTTTTCAGCTGGAGTAGACTGCATGCATATTATTATTCCTGCAAGTTTTGCAAACAGTCTGATGGGGAGAACTACATCTTCATTTGCTTTTGTAAATAATTATGGTGAACCAAGTCAAACAAGACTAAAACTGGAAGTAATTCTCTTTTACATGTCACAAGGAACAATTAAGGTAGTGCATGATCTACAGTAAAACCTGTAGCTGATAACAGCCATTAGATACATTTGCAAGGAATATAAGACTTCATGTAGGCACACTGGCATTTACGTGAAATTTATCATATAGGTATGGTTCAAAGCTCACTCTTCCAGTATTATCTTAGTTCATCTTGTCAGACTTTTGAGCTATACATATTATAGAAATATCATCTCCAGGGATCACTATGAAAAAAGAACTTTAGGAAACAGAAATCAAATTCTAGAGCACCTCGTTAATTGATTAAAGAAAGCTTCTTGAAAAAGAATACTTGATAAATCAACTCTCATATTTCACAGTTTTTCTAATTATCTCCTATTCCTTTTTTTTTTGCATATGCTTTGGAAAGAATCTGATCTCAAATTTTGTGTGAAAACCAAGGTGCATATTTTGTTCTCTTTACATCACCTTTGGGCAGCACTATGGCAAATTAAAAACACAATATGCCAAAAAAAAGTCTGAAGTAAAAAATATCGTGTAGTGTGCAAATTATGGAAAAGCAGTTTTGACTCCAGTAGAAAAGACAGCCTAGTAGTATCTGAAAAATGGCCATCTAGTTACTGTAATACTCCCTGCTATTATACTCCATCCATATGCAAAGAGGCTACAATAAGGGGTGAAGTTCAGTTCAGTTCTGATCCCTACACTCCTCTTTTCTAATTCTTGCTGCTTTGCAACCTTTACGTTCTTTACAAGAAGCCCTCCAGCGTTGTCTGATTTGTCTGTCTTCTAAACATAGCCAACTTGTTTTGATTTTAGTGAAGCATGTACATGATGCCTCTCAACCTACTTCAAAATTCAAATGTACCTAAGCACAAACTATGTTTGAACTTAAACAAATGTCTGAAGAATTAAAACCTAAAGTTAATAATCAACAATAAAATAAGATCAACACAACAGCTAGAGATGAAGAAATCAGTAATTAGTATAGAAGAAGGAATAAACAGCAGATGAATTAAAAATTCTTTTAGGCAAGAGGTGTCTATCCATATACCATTAAAGTCAGAAATATAACTTCAAAAGGTTCTAATGAGTTGAAAGGAAGAGAGGATATCAAAAATGAGACTGGATGCTGGAAAAAAAAAAAAAAAAACAAAACAGTACAACAAAACCAAAACAAATCTTCAATGTAATTTACAGCTACAGAGTGAAAGAAAAACTGGAAACCAGTGATGCTCAAGACTATCTAGAGATTAGAATTTTTGCAAGTTGCAGCTAAAAGGTAAATACAACACTGGGCTCCACATATGAAAGCCATACAGTCTGCCATCACAAGTCAATCACAATTAAAAGACCTAACACAGCACTGCATACTCCTGATTTCCATCAGCTGAAAAATTAAAGGAAGTTTAAGGATGAAGATCAGTGAAAATCAGAACTAGAAGAAAGAAGAGCGGCTAAATGAAACAATCCTTTATTGACTAGAAAACTGCCCCCAAATTTCTGCAACTTTTTCTTTCCAAGTTAAAGAGAATACCTATGTAATTTTATCCAGTGATAGGTTTATTAATCAAGCAACATGTATGGAGCGATCTTTTCACTGATGAGCTGGTCTGTGTTCATGTTTGTGACATACTGTAAAGTCATCCTCAGATTACAGAATCTCCACTTTACTCCCTCACTCCCATCAGCAGGACACTGAGGGCATATCCTACAGCTGCAGTGGTGAAATAAGCTGAGCTGCCTTACAGCTGCAAAATATATTGTCCAGCCTTGACTGACAACAGGGCTATGAGCACAAGAGCTTTGACATACACCTGTCTGCCAGAGGACAAGAATCCAACTGATGTGAGAATCTAGGTCGTAACCCACATTCCTAAACATGACAGTTGCCCTAGATTAAGAAGGATAAGCAGGAGTTTAAAAAAAAAAAAAAACACCACCAAAACCCAGAAAGAAGTCTGTATGTGCAAAGAGAAACAATACCAAAGGCAGCGCACAAATAAAAGAGCAGTGAAAACACACTCATCAAAATGTAAAACGATTTGTAACAGCCAAATCATCCTGAAGTTCTCTCACACTCAGCTGTAAAAAGCAAACCAATTAAAAGCTAGATGGAGATGAATATATTTGACTATTCTATATACTATGTAATCAATGACCTTGGTAACATTAAATATTTATAGAATTGCTTTGGAAGTTCACACACCCTCTAAAAATAGTTTAAAAACAAATCAGTTACTGGATTTGTCTGAGACAAAAATATTGACTTCAAAATCTGCTGTATATAAAGAAATACAGTTATTTTATTGTTACCAAATAAAGCATAACTTTGTGCTGAACATTACATTTGTCATCTGTTTTAAAGATCTATTCTCCTTTAAAAATTTTTTTAGCTCACATTTCATTACCATGTTCCACATACTTATTATCTTTACCCTCTGTCAAAATAGAGCAAGAATTTCTATGTTTAACACCCTTTGCACGGATAAACATCATATATGCATGCACTTCCAGGGTTTCTATGATTTTGAAAAAAAACTGACCTGGAGAGAGGCGTAATTTTATTAATTTAAGTTAAACTATCAACACTTTAAGGAAGGAACATTATCTTAATTAGTCATAAGGTGCACAATTGCAGAAAGAACACCTAAAATCTTAAGCATAAAATATTTTTAGCCCATCCTCTGCCTCTCTTCCATTTACCTGCAGATCATTTTAATTCCAATATTTATTTAACGTTAAAGACATTTTTGTTTGACCTTTATGTCTGGTGAACAGGACAACTCTTTTGTCTTGTTCCCCGCAACTATATTGATACTTAACGTACAGGCACTATTATGTCTGTAAAATTATTTGACAGTTAAAAGCAACACACTAACTTAAATATAAATAAATTCTAGGAAGTATTCCCAAATACCTTTAAAGATACTCTTCTCACATTTCACTTAAATGTTACTTTAGCTTAGTTTTGATGTAATTTCTTCAGTGACCCTTTCTAGTGTCTTTTCATTCTCTACTATTAGGGGACTACTTTTTACATATCAGAAAACAAGTAATGTGCGCAAAAAAATTTAGAAGTCTTTCAAATAATATCCTATGAAGAAGTCTTTCAAATAAACAGTGTTAGAATGTCACTTTGAAATTAGGCATGAAAGTCACACTATCTTGACTGAAAAAAGGCCAGATGTGAGTATGAGTTACAAAGAACAACACTGTCATAAACTCTTCTGAATATCTGACCAATGCTCATTTAGAATTTATGTGGGTTTTGGTACTAAATTTCTGAATGTCTCCGAGTTACCCTTTGTAAATATACCTTACAAGGGAAGATAATCTTAAAAAAAAAAAAAAACAAAAATTACTATTAGTGTTTCAGTGCTATAGAATAAAATATATTTAGTGTAATACTGTCAATTCATCTAACATTATTAGGTATGTTGATAACCACTACCCCAGTTTATTGCAGAGGATTCAAATTTAAAAGCTACATCCTATGACTGCATGTTCAAAGTTTGAGCTACTATAAAACTCATAGTTTGAATGAAGAAAGTAATCCTGATTTTATACTAGTCTTTCAAATAAAGTTACAAATTATTAAAAACAATGAATGTTCTAACATTCCGTACCAGAATACAATGTGTGATCTGTCCCTTTGGTAGATTGCTGCTGCACAGCCAAACTATTCTCAGAACTATTCCCACAGCTACTGACAATGCTGAAGATGCTAGACAGAGACAAAGAGTAGACGCGTTGAAATGCTGCAGATACATTTGTAAATTCAATAAAAGTACTAGATCAGTATGTAAGTTTCTTTTACAAATTACATAGTATAATACTAAAAACCAATAGTGCAATTTTATACAGAACCTAATTAAATCAGAAGCAACAACATATTTGGAAAAAGAAATTGATAATTTCAAAAGAACTTTTGTGAGAATCTAAAAAAAAGTAACAAATGGCACATTGAAAAAAATGTTTACAAAGCCAGTGAATTCCAATTGGTGGTCTCACTGTTCTAATGCAGCTACATCTACAGATGTAGGTGTCTAACTCTGCACTGTATCAAAATAACTTTGAACCTGTCCTGTATTAAAGTAAGGGTGAAGGACAATGAAACAGAATAGAAATTCTAAAAAAGCTCCTGAGAGATAGGAAAAAACACCCTTTGTTTGTAAGGCATGACATATGCAGAGATCAAATTACACTATTCATTCACAGTCACAGAAGATGAACAAACGAGCTTTGCCACCTTTCTATACTATGAAGTGAGTACAAGTGGTATAACCACCATGGAATTGACAGACTTGAAAACCACTGCAAAATAGCCCAGGCAGTATTATAAAAACAAAACAAAACAACACAACACTCTAAAGATTCTTCTCATTTCAGTACTTATGAAACTGTAACAGTTTACATAAACTGTAACAGTAACACCCTACACACCAATTCAAGCCTGTGATCCTTCCTGAAAGGAAATCTTGGACTTTGCACAAGGTGGCAAATACCAGGAGACTAATAATTCAAAGAAAACATTCCAGACTCTGCGTGCGTGAAGGAACAGGCTCACATGGTCTGGTCTTGCTGTCCTGCAGTTGCAGAACTAAGAGTCCTACCTCTTTAACATGGGATGAAACTAAATCTGTACCCAAGAAGCAAAGCAAGGAAGTGAGCAAGGAAGGCCACTGCCCATAGCTGCAGCCTACAAATCCCCCTGGATGGAAACACAGCTAACACCCGCAGAGGGAGAGCGACAGTACTAGGCCAGTTTCAATCAATTAGTTGTTAGCTGGAACTCTGATGTTTTACTCCTCTAAAAACAGCGCTAGAATTGTTTCTTCATCCTTTCAAAAACTTATAATGGAAAGACTGGATATAAAGATTTTGTTAGAACTAAAGAGATCAAGCACAGTTAATATTGCAGGAATAGGCATTTTCACCATCACCTAGATGCTGCTTTTTATAAATGAATCTATTAAAGGTTTTGTCTTGTCAAACTGAAGATGTAAGAAAACCATGCAAGTAACAGGCCATCTCCCCAAAACCTCTTAATGTCCAACTGCCCACTGGCTAACGAGAAGAGGAGGAAGAAATAAAAACAGAATCATAATTGTGTACAATTATTAAACACAAGGACTCAGCAGCAGAGTCATTGCATGCACGTCCCATAATTTTAAAGGGGATCAGTCGCCCACTCTCTCTCCAAATACTAGGGAGAAATAAAGAGCAAAACCTTTAGCTGCCTGACAGAAAAGATAAATTCCACCCCAAGAGCCCATTTACATTCTGCAGTGAGGAAGTCAGATTAAGGATCACATCAGTGATACGAGTTAGAAACTGCTGGAACACAAATGAAGGAACTATCCTGTTGTGAATAAGGTTTAAGTTGGCTTATTCACTGCCTATTGGTAATTCAGACATTTTCATATCCTCTTCTGCAACTACGGAAATGGCACTGACAAATCAATACTTGCAATTAAGAAATCCATAAACTAAAAAGCAAAAATTTAAGCTTTGGACATTAAATTTAAATACATCCCAGAAATGACCACGTGTACATAAAGGCACAATCATTTATTACCTAGAGTCCTCTGTTTACTGCAGCACAGTTGAATGGGTGTCAGAAAAACTATGTTACTTCAACACATATCTTAGATTTGCAAGGCAAAGTATGCCTCCTCAGGTACATCGCATCCTCAGGGAAACATTGAAATACTTCACCTCATAACTAAAACAGTTTAACTTAAACATTAAGCTGGTTTTCAGAATAAAAATTCCTTTGTACTTGTCAGATAGGGCTTTTAAGGATTAGCCTGTTGGGCCCTTAACTCTAGATGCATGCTGATGGAGATAATGCTTACAGTTTAACAACAGAGTGAACACATAAAAGCCCATACCTTTTGTTCCACATTAGTTAACAAGGGAGGAATATCAGAAGTTGAGGAGTTTGGCAGGCCCAGTGCATCGCAAATAGCTTGCACTTCTTGATAAATTTCATTGCGCTTTTCCAAATGAGAGCCTTTAATTTTCTTGCTGTGCAATATCTTTAAAGCCTGAAGTTCTGTACTTAGAAACACTAAAGAGAAAAGTGTCATAATGGCAGATTTAGAGACACCTGTATATTTCTGCATCTACATTCTCATATACAAAGACAATACATACATTTTTAATAAGACCATGATAAAAAGGAGACTCATTCTCAGTTCTCTCCCAGACAGGTCCGTACCAGTTTCCCATACTTTATCTGAACTAACTCACACCTGACTTCCTACCTTCAGTCTACACATCATATTTAACTGTTTAACCCACTTCTGCCACCAGACCTCTAGCTCCTTGGCTAGTTTCATATTATCGCACTCGTTCCTGCTGCTACTCCTTTGTCCAAGTCCAGCTTAAACCTGGACTTTGCTTCTCTCAATCCTGCTTTCAGCACCTTCAAATCACAAAGCATTTTCTTTTAAGCTGACCAGAAACCTCTCAGAAACACAGGAAGTAAGGTCTCAGTTTCAGCTGATCTGGAACTGGATCATGAGAGGGATCAGGAGGCCTCAGTAGGTTGAACCACACTTCACAAAGAAATTTTAGTTTAGACTAAAATAGTTTTCTAATAGTTTTCTATTTTCCACTTTTGCACAAGTAAGTTGATGCGTACTTGGCTAGGTTATAATGATTGTACACATATACTTAAATACACAAAAAGAACTATTTAATGTAAATTGTACAGTAACGACAGACCATGCATGTTAAATACTGTATTATAAATAGAAAAAATGGTTATGACTTACAGAGGAGTTTAAGACAATCTTCTTTCTCTCTTAATCTGTCCTTGATGTCTCCAGATATAAGTGATGAATACGGACAAGCCATTTCTCTCAGAAAGCCACTAATCTCAAGCTGGAAGCTCTCTACATCTTTATCACCTATGGGAATAAATAAGTGCAAAGATAATGGCTTTTTACAGAAACATTGAACTGTAATCTGATCTTCTTAATTTACACATTTAAATCACAGGTTTCAATAGCCCAGACAAAGATTTACCACCTACCACCCTAGTAACATTTTCTTTCTTCTTAAAGAAGACAAGCAGACAAGCCATTTAATAGCTACAGCAACACTGCACTCATGCTTTGAACGAGAAGGCAATGCTGCAGCAGTCTTTGAGGACATGAATGCAAATGAACATCACTAGGAAGTGAACAGTTTATGTCACAAAGCTGCGTATCAATATAATCAATTCTCTGAGGAACAAGTTACAGGACTCACGAGCCCATTATTTTCAATGGTAGTTTTCAGTTTTACTACTTTTTTCACGAGAACATAAGCAATATAAAATCTCATTCAAGTTCCAGCACTCAGCAGAAAGAATCAGGTAGCACTAATGAGCACCTCATGTATCTACACACGGTACTGAACGCAACACCACAGTGGACCAATAAGCTAAAAATACCAGGCACTGGAATTTAAGCCCTCAAAATATGATTACATATAACAACCACTCATAGGATGCATGAATGTACGTTTTACATTTATGTAGATCTAAAAAAAACCACAAAAGCACTTTTTTGTCTTTTGAAAGAATCTTCACAAGATAAGACCTTAATCTAGGAGCCACATACAAGCAAATATCAGCCTCAGTTTGGCTACCTTTCAGCTATCTTCTAAACTTCAACACTGTGATTTCACTATTAGCTGAACAATATGGGTCTAAATCCACTGAGCAAATACTAAATTGCTTTAATAAATTAACATTCATATACCATCTGCTGAAGTGATGCTTTCTTCCATATTACAAAGTGACTTTATTTGGGAACCTAACCAAACACAAAGCTCAAAAAATTCTGGTGAAGACAATCCATTTTCTGCTGCTTTGTTCAGGGCTTCCTCCTCCAACAGGGGACCTGTGTACCTGGACAGAGAGATAAACATTAGAGATAAGAAGCAAGTTTAACATCAAATATACACATTTAAAAATAATTTTACTGTAAGATGGTTAGTAACTACACTGAGAGAAATTAATCTTTGTAAGTTACTTTTCTCAAGGAACAATTCAGACTTTTTTTTAAAACACATCAAAAAAATTGCAGTAATTTATAAACAAAATGGTTCATCATATAATAGGAGGCAGGCATTTTCACATAATTGCACATGTATGCGAAAACAGTTTCATGTCTCAATGCACACTAAACAAACAAAAATTCAAGTATTAAGTCAAGTGTTCAGACACACAAATTTCCTTCCGGCGTTGACAACTCGCTGCCCTAGAGCACCGGCAGTAGGATAACTGAAAATCGAGCTAAATTCTACCCTGTCTCTGCTCTGCTGCACCTGAAGCACCTTGGCGGGAGGCGGGCAGGCATACACCCAGGAGGCGGGCGCCCGGCCGGTGGGAGAGCGCCGAGCCCCGGCCGCTCCGGCGTGCCCAAACACCTTTTCAAACTCTCTGTACCCCAAGAAACGCCCACGCAGCCGCGCTTCCTTCCTTCCTCCCCCCCGCTCCCCCACCATTACCACCGGCCGAGCCCAAGGCGGCCGCCGTGGCCCCGCTCCCGGGCGAGGCAAGCGGCCCAGCCCCGGCAGCTGCCGCAACGCGGGGCCCGTCCCTCCGCCGCCCCCCGGCTCCCTAGTCTGCTCCCTCCCTCCCTCCCGCCCGCCCGCGGCGAAGGGCCCTCGCCCCGCGAAGGGGGGAGCCGCTGCCGCTCCCCGATTACCCCAAGGCCTCCAGCGCGTCCAAGATGTCGCACTCCATCCTCAGGCCGGCCGCCAGCTCCCTCATGCCGCCACCACGGCCCCGCCGCCTCCCGCCGCGCCGCGCTGTGCCCTCCTCAAACCGGCCCTCCGCAACCTGCGCCCGCCGCTGCGTTCCGCCGCCGCAGGCCGCGGGCCCGGCGGGGGGCCCCAGGCCGCTCCCGCCCCGTCTCCCCGCCGCCGGGGCGCAGGCTGCTGGCGGTCACCCTCCGTGGGGGCCGGCCCTTGCTTTCCGCCCTTTCGGGGCAGGGGAGCCGGCTCTGCCAGCCACAGACCCCCGCAGCCCTGCCCCACGCCTCCCCCGGGGAGGTGGTTAAAGAAAAGCGGGTTTTGGGGCCTGGACTTCTGCTGCGTTTCTGGGATCTCTCTGAATTTCGAACTGTGAAATTCAGCCTGAGGCGGCGCAGACCCCGGCTGCAGGGCCCCGTAGCCCTGGGTTTCCTCCGTGGGGGTCCTCAGCCCTGTCCCGGAGGTGCGGGCCTGGCAGGACCGGCTCCTAGAGCCTGGCTGAGCCTAAAATCCAGACCATGATACTTCTAATAATTTAGGGAGGGAAGTGGGGATAGGTGTCCCAAAACGTGACTTTCCCTGATCTCTGATTTTCTTTTGTCTTCTGTTTTGAGGTGTCTGAGTTCTCTTTTCCCAAGCTTTTATTAACGACCACAATGTTGAGAGAGACACAAAAACTAGTGCCAGCTTTTTTTGCCTGTTTGGTCCCAAACTATTCCTGTTTTACCCCTTACAGCCATTCCTGGTGAAGCATCCCTCAAATTCGCTCTAAAATAACGTTGCTACATTATCTTCTCAGAATTTTTGATTTCATCTAGCTCAGCTGTAGACTCCTATCTTTCCTACTAATTAGAAGGAAAATTTTGCCTTTTTTTTTTTTTTTTTTTTTTTTGCCAGTGTTGTTTTATATGGACCTTCAGAAAATTAGACCTGTAAAGGCATTCAATCAGATGGAAATAATTACAACATTTCTTAATGATTTCATTCTTAATGCATGAAATCTCTGCAGTTTCGGAAGCAACTATTTTGAATTACTTCTATTTAGCAGAAGACGTGGCTTTATTGAGTACTAAGTTTTTAAAAAAATTGGAATCAGAACAGTCATGACATCCTCCCCCACACAGAGACAGAAACCTAGAAATTAAAAACATTACGGCAGTCAGTGAAAAGAAGGGCATCTTAAAGTCTGATAGGCTTACGTCGACCATAGGATGTACATCAGTGCCAGTAGCTCAGAGGTCTCTCACAACTTTCAACCATGTCTCGCCCTGTACAACTGAGCTTTAAGAAATTTTTTGTTTCAGATGGGTTAACAATAATTTCTCTAAGTGAAGGAACATGCATTTGAAAGCAGAGATTCTGAAATAAGAACTCTTACTCCTGTTTAAACAACATTAATATCTAATTAATAGAGTGTAATGGAGGAAGAAAACAAAATATGCAGAAATACACAGAAACAGCCAATTTTCTTTCCCTTTCTTTTCTAAAGTTGTATCTTTCTGCTACTCTTTGTGAATCATCACTGTGCAGTTGTTCTGAGAAACCAAGTAGTTTTCATATCACTCAACAGTGCATGCTAAGAAAAAGAACTGGAAAAAACTAGAGGTGAAACTAGCATAATATAATTATCAAAACTAAAAAAGTAGTCTGGTAATTTAAGAGGTACTGTGTAGTACAAGTAGGTGGCAGCATTGTTCCTTGGGTCTCTCTCTCTCTGTAAATTTTCCTACATAATATAAATGTATTTTGCTTATTTAAGTTACAGGATAATACATAAACTAGTAATTTCTCCTCCTGTCTTTTGATAATGTTGCATATATATGACAGCCAAGCACATGCATCAATTACTGTTTTAATTCGAAGATTTTTCTGAAAAATCCTAATTTTTCTGTATAGTAGAGATATTACATATATGAGGAAATACAAGTCTGAATTTCACAAATTGCGTCTTGAGACCTGTGATTCAAAGACATTTTTGGTTGTGACCATATACTTAGGTTGCCTAACACCTTCTCACAACTTCGCCATTCATTCAGTCCACAACTTTCTCTATGTCCATTCCAGAGTCTCCCATCCCCGGAGGAGGAAAAAAAATCATGATAGAGCTGGCTAAAAATATTTTGTAGCAGCCTACGCCTATGGGAGTGGACTTTGCCTTTGCCCCATGCCCTCTGTAATATACAAACAGGAACAATAAGGGAAGAGGTCTCAGCATAAAGTCGTTACTTTCACATGAAAGGCATAATGTGGCTTCAACTAGGTTATGAGTGCCCTAGAACTTTTTGGCTTTTGTCAGGATTTCTTTCTCACTAGTCTGCCAGTTAGCCATCTCCCTCAGCAGTCAGGTGAGTCCTGGTGCCAGACAAGGAAGGAGAAGAAATGCACAGCTGAGGTTAGAAAGTGAAGATAATGCTGGATCAGCACGGACTTGAATCAACTTGAACTGATAAGAAATGGCATCTTAATTGAGCATGTGGCTGGGGCTGTCTACACCTCCCTTAAATACATTGGAAAGTACCCGGAGTTGAAAGCAAGGTGAAGGTAGGAACTTGGGGGATAGGTCTTCTGCCAATTCATATTAAAACTCTACATTTACAAGTTGCCCGTAATCTTACTAAAACCCAAAATACATAACTCCGTTTGCTACTGATGTTAAACTAAGGTAAATCTCAGCCATTTACCGAATTACTGGTGTGGCTATGGCAAGTCATATGTTGTTATGCTCTTCACAACCGCTCGAGAAGTGTCCCCACGGCCAGGCGTGCAAGCGGGCGCGGGGCGCTCCGAGGCTCCCCCGAGACACGGGTGGGCTGGGGGGGCCCTGCCTGCCGCCGCAGCAGCGCGGTCACCGCCGGGGCTGGCGCCTGTGCCGGCTGGGCACAAGCAGTCTGCTCCTAGCAGGGCCAGTAAAGCTGCCCACAGGTACCCTAGCCGCGCGTTTCGGAAGACTCGGTTGCTTTGTCCTTCTCATATGCAGCACAGGAATGAGAAGCCGGACCTCTTGAATTCAAATGAGGAGGAGGCAGACTGTTTTAATGCAGAAAAGGTAGAAATAATTTGTGGTACTGAGAAACGTTTAGGAGACAGACTCTGTTTTAACACAGAAGAGGTACAAATAATTTGTAGTACTAAGAAACGTTAACAGACAATTATTGACCACTAGAGGGGATCATAGGAGAGGAGAAGGAATTGAATATACTACATAATAAATGCTTTCCTCTAACACGAACTTGCCTACGTGCGATGTTGTACTGTATGTGCACAGTTTAAAAGTGATTGAGAAAAGACAGCACTTTATGCATGCTTAAGTCGATATGAGAAGCTTATATTAACTGACTTTAATACAGATCAATAACAGGTTTAATTGTTAAAATGAAGTAACTTCTTTACACAGATTTTTATCTGTTTAAATTTATATAGGCTAAACATATTCAACTTCCATCTGTAAAAAAATACTAACCATTCTTTTAACATACTAAAAAAGGTAGGCATTGTTCTTCAGACTTGCTGACATTTAAACAGGTGTAGCTTGCTTGTTAAAAATTAATGTTAAATTGCTTTTAATCCTTCTATAAACTCCTTATCTTTAAGGATGATTTGGGAGTACCCAGCCCAGGCAGTATCAACTTAATTACATTATTGTGGAACCGCAAGTTAGAATTGAGCTATATATCAATTTTGCAAATAAAGTGGATGTGAATGATGGTTATGCTAATTTCACTGAATCTGGGCGGATTTATACTACCTACAAGAATCCTGCCCATCAATTTAAGGGTTACCCTACTGAAATTGAAGGATACCTCCCATCATAAAAATTTTATTTCAAAATCACCCTTCTAACATCTCCCAGACCAAATCAAGCCACCTGAAGTAGTGACATCAAAGTTTTCAATTCAAACTGAATTATTTGGAGAAATTATGCACAGTGATAAATTCTGCAGAATGAAAAATTCAATTTCTTGCAGATGAACTGCTCTCAAACTAATTTTTTGGGGCACGTGTCTCTGCACAAACGGTGGGGGGAGAGGTCAGAACCAGGCAGCAGTTGACCGGGAGAGGTCAACAACTTGCACAATGTCTGCAACATGCTGACTAGTCCTCTTTTTCCGGTACTTGTCTAAGGACACCGTGGCTCCTCATTGTCCTTGAGTCGGAATAAAATGAATAAGGCACAGTCTAGCTCTGTAATGTTATTGACTTAATTGCACATAGTTGAATTTACTGAGATTTTTTTCATTTACTTTAGAAGGAGTAGGTGTGGGGCCTAAATATTTCAGTGAGATGTGCTCGTACCTTTTAGCATCACTGATAAAAAGAATTCTTTGTAGACCAGGCATTTATATTTATTTGCTTCTGTTTTTTGCTGGTGGTGCATTACAATAGAAGCGTTATGACTATCGAGAGAACCAAGATTTCTTTTTGCTTAAGTGGAGTCTCATTTACAAAAGGAAAGGCTGAGTGAATCGTGGAACTGCCAGCACCTTTCACCTCTGTCAGGGGACTCAATTTAATGGTCTTCTCACTACCGATATGGTCGTTACACTGTGAGAACTATTTGCTTCTGAAGTTTCTCATGGATTTTTTCTTTTTTTAAGAGAAAGTGAGTAGATGATTTAGTCTGTAGGTGCCCAGTGAACACTTGTTTGCAGAAGAGGCTGCTGAGGACTGGTCATAATTTTGTGGACATGATTCCATTATGAATGAGACCGAAGCCTCGAACTAGTGCAACATATTAAGTGAGCAAAAAAAGACAGACCTGCAGTAAGTCTGGTCCCTGCTACAGCAAATGTTCAGCCTGGCAGGACAAAGCAATGAATATTCCAAGTTCATATTTCTCATTCTTTTAAAAATAAACTGTGCCCATTTTGCTCTTCAGACCATATGGCGTGAATCATTTCAGTGAAGCATTCATCACATCATGATTTACACTGACATTATTTCTTAGAAGTTAAGTGGTGGGGCTTCACTGTGTGGAGCTTCATGTATTATTCTCTGTTCTCTTTCACTTGTTTCACAGAAAGGTAACTTTATTCATCTCAGCTTAAAACTAGAGTTACAGGAGTGAAAAACCAAGCACAAAGTGTTCTTGTTTTTAGGTTTTCTGGTTGAAAATTAATCTCCTCATGAATGTACACAGACTTTTATTTTAAGCTTTTGTACTCACGTATGATGTAGTCATAGGTGCCTGTTTGATACTTACTCTGTTTTCAAGAAAGTACAACAGAGAAAAGTCTTATGATAGTTCTTATGCAAATACCAGTTTAGTTAACATATGCTGAATATTTGAATGGAAAAGAAGGCATGTGACCAGGTGCGTGAGTTGCCTGAGAG